AGTACCTGGTATACCTTGGCATGTGCTGGAACCTGCTGGAAGGATTGGATGGTCAGGTGACCTGCTGTGCATGGCTGTGCATGACCTCATATGACCTCATCCTTGGTCATATGACCTGATCACCTGACTAGGCTGAGTAAGCAAGATGTTCTAGCAGGTTCCACCACAGAGGTATAAATATAAGGCCTACTCTGCCTGGGGACTGTCTCTTCAGACTTGGTCTCTTAGGATCATGCACAGGTACCTATACCGTAGATAGGTCTTAGTCATCAGGTCTACTCCACTTCCTTGTTGCCTGCTTAGACTCTTGGCACTCTTAGGTGAGCAGACTTAGTCAGCCTGTGTTGCCCTAACATATAACCACACTTGAAGGCATGTGCACACATCTGGTTTCATGGCACAGAACCAGCCAAGGGCTTCCAGGTGGTCATCATACCTCCATTTCTCTGCTTGACACCAAAACTGAGCCTCCAGCTTCCCATTCTCCCACTTGTGGAGAGTCCATTCAACCTAAAAAGACATCACCTGAGTGGGTGGCAATCCCATAACCACAGACTCACTGCTGCCACAGCTAAAGTGATTGCCAGGAAAGGCATGGGGTTGTACTCCATATGCAATGCACTTGCCAGGCAGTCTGTGTCCTTGAACCATACCTTGTTGATGACCTGCACAATTGCAGCTGACTGGTAGGCACACCTTTTGGCGACTGGGTTCTGGGTGATGCTCCGTTCAGGTCATGGTTCCTCCTCTGAGCCATCCCACTCACCTGGAAGATGAAGTGCAGGTCCATTAGGAGTTCCCAGACTGATTCTGCCACTTGCCATTGTTCTGCAAGCATTTCTTGGGCAGGATTTGTCTGCACTAAAGCCATGGTCAAGGGGTTAATATAATGGTCCTTGACTGCAATTCGTGCTGCTTCAACCACTTTCAACCAGAATTTGGATGTACACTCCATCAGCTGCAGTTCATTCAGTGCATGGCTCAACAGACTTCACACACACACATATTTCACATGACTGCCCTTGCAACTGATGTTGCAACTGTGTGCTTGGGTGGCCTCATTCAATGCTTCTTCAATTAAGTCACCTCTTTCCTTGTCTTCCAGATAGGGGTTTTTGGAGCCCAACAACCCCCAATAGATTGCTTTGGCAATGTGAAGCAGCCCTTGCTCAGCTGAGCTGTGGTCCCCTGCCCTGATTTTGCCTGACATGGGACGGAGTGCAGGGGGTCCAGGCATCTGCTCTGGTGATGTATCATCACCCCTTTTGTGTTTTGTCCAGCTTGTCCAGCTGCTCTGTCAATGATATGGGATTAATCTGTACAAAAACACACCGATTTTCTTTGTTGATGGTTCTGCATGGCTGAGAACTCCCTGACAGTCCATCAGATTGTCAGTGATGGTTTATGTTCTTGTCCCACCACCTACCAGAAGAGCAGAATGAATCTAGAGGTTTCCAACAGGTTCAGTGGGTTTGGGTTAGCTGGTCTGCTTGGACATTGCATACTGGCTGTAGGGGCAGACAGGTCCCAGTGGTGACAAGGGCGGCAGGTTGAGACTCTTCCAGCTCAGTCTCACTACCCTTGCTCTTGTCTTCATCCCCATCAGTTTCTTTGCAGGACATAGAGTCTTCCTCTTCCAAGTCATCCCCCCAGGATTCAATTTGTGTTTGCCCTTCACTGTCACCTGGCTGTAATGTGTCAGGGATGCCTGTCGCCTTGCTCTGTTCCTCACCACTGGCCTTGGGGTTATAAACACCTATGATGCCAAATGGAAGAATCAGATCCATTGGCATAAATAGAGGTTTACTTCCCATCACACACTTGCATTTGGCACCTCACAGGCAGCATTTGGGGGGATCCTCCTGGGTTGAGGCTTGGTGTTGGTTGGTTTACTAGTCTGGGCCATACTTGTGTGGTCAATGGAAAGCAAGCAGGAGAAGGGGTCAAGTCCCATACACTGGTTTAAGCCTTCCCCTCAAAAAAAGTAAACAATGTGTCATCACGTGATGGTTACCTGGCCTGATCAATTGAGTGCCAGATGAATGGGGTGCTGGATCCCAGACCATCACCTAATCCTTATATGTATTGATGAAACACCTCAGGGTACCTCCACCTACCATACTTGGTGAGTGTCACTGGTTTCCATGTATTAGGTAAATAGGGTTGGCTCCACCAGTACTAGTAGACTAGTATGATGGAGACTAGGCAGAGACCATCACCATGTGATAGATGAACCATCACCTCTCATGTCCAAGATGGCCATGTCTCTCTGTTGTCACCCAACCTTCACTCCAGGTCATGAAGTTCACCCCCTCTGCTTCATTCCATCCCTGCTCCTGGTGTGCCAAAGATTTCTGGTCAGCAGCATCTCTACACAAGCATCTGGCTTTGGCACCAGCTTGCCATGCTGCTGCTGCCAAGCACCAAAAATCCCAGTTGGCCCAGCTCTGGTCCAATGCAGGGTCCATGGACATTGAAATATCAGAATATGAGCCTCCTCTAGGATGGGAGGAGGCTCTGCTCATGGTTGGTGATAACACCAAGCCTGATATCATCAACCATCACCCACCCAATGAGGTGCCCCAGATGGATTTCTGGCATCCACCACAGCCTTCCAATACAAGCAATCCACATTTTGATATTGAACACTATCCCCAGAAAGACAAGAGTAATCTGGGCCATGCAACTGTGGAATTTGAAGAGCTTTGGCATGTTATGGCACTTTTGGCAGTGCTGATGAGTGGCAACTGGCTAAATGGGCCATAGATAGTGGACTCAGTCTATCAAAGATGGATGAACTCCTTCCACTTCAACAGGTCAGTGCGTCCATCTGGCTGGTGATGGTGTGCTTATCAGTTCCTTGCCAGCTTAGCACTTGCCCAGGAAGGGGTTTCCACAACTCACACAGCCTGTTTCAATCCATAGATTGTCTCCCCTGTATGCCCCCATGGATGTGCAAGATGCACACTATCAAAACCCACAATCTGGTGGCACCTATGCAAGAGGTGATGTTTTGGTACCATGACCCAGTTTCTTTGGTCAGGGAGTTGATCAGGAATCCACACTTCAAAGACAAACTGCATTACCACCCAACCAAACTATACACAAGGGACCATCTATGTCAATGGGCATACTGTAACATGAATGACTCTGAGTGGTGGTGGAATACCCAGGTGAGTTGGCATTTGGCCATCTTATGTCCTCCTCACTCATACAGTGAGGTCTAGGACATGATACCTTCTGGAGGCATTGTTGCCCCAGTCATCCTGGCCTCCAACAAAACCCAACTGACCCACTTCACAAGTGGGATGGTGGCCTACCCTGTGTACTTGTCTATTGGCAACATTCCCAAGTCTATCTGCTTCCAAACCAAAGAAAAGGCCATGATGCTCTTGGCATATCTGCTCACTGACAAGTTGATGGGATTTTGCAGCCCGGCTGCTTGTGCCCATGCTGAGCATCACCTCTTCCACATGTGCATGGCAGAGATTCTACAGCTGCATCAAGGCAGGAATTGAGGGTGTCAAGATGACCTGTGCAGATGGATACAGTCATATGGTGTTCCCCATCCTAGGGTCATATATAGCAGACTATCCAGAGCAGTGCCTGGTGACAGTCTGCCATCACCAGCATTGCCCCAAATGCACCATGCCTTCAGAAGAGAAAGGGGCCCTCACAGAGTAGCTCCTTTGCATGCAACAGGTCACCTTAGAGTTAATGCACTAGCTTGACATCACTTCTGATACCACAGCCATCACCTGCAAAAAAGATGTTTATCACAACACAGGCATCCACCCAATCGATCATCCTTTCTGGGAATCCCTGCCTTATACTGACACATATGCCTGCAACACACCCAATCCTCTGCATGAACTCCATAAAGGGGTGTTCAAAGACCATTTATTTGCTTGGTGTCTCGATCTCGCAGGGGCAGAGGAAGTGGATGCCCATTTCAAGTGGGTCCCCCCTCATCATGGGTTGAAGAATTTTGAAAGAGGGGTTTCAGGCTTATCACAGATGATTGGTACAGAACATCATCATATGCAGAAAACCATGGCTGCACTGTTGGTAGGACTGCCTGGAAACATCACCAGCCAGACCCTGCATGCCACCCATGCTATATTGGACTTCATCTACCTATCTCACCTCCCAATGCTGACTGAAGCCAATCTGCAAAGGATGGAATGCAGTCTGGCCAAGTTTCATGTGTATAAAGAAGCATTCTGGGCTGCATCTTCCTGCAAAGATTTCCACTGCATCCTGAAACTACACAAACTCCAGCATTACATAGCTTCCATACAAAGCCACAGCCCTTGCAATAACTTCAACACTGAGCTCCCTGAATGCCTTCACATTGATATGGTCAAGTTGGGCTATCATGTGGGAAACAAACATGATTATATTGCTCACATGATGACTTGGTTGGAGAGGCGAGAACACATGCACAAGTATACCCAGTTCCTCAAATGGGCCGAAAGAAAACATCCTGATTATTTTGGTGACTTGGGAGAGGGGGTAGCCCAGACTCCATGATACTTGGGCTTAGATGCTTGCCAAATGAAGGAGCTATTCCACATCCTGGACATTCTGGGTAGCCTGGCTGCATGGATCTGTCACAGGCATGGGAACCACCCCATTGAAGGGCACCCTTCAACTGATGCTCAATTTCATTGCTTTGTACACCTCTCCATCAACATTCCCACTATCCCTGGTGGTCATGACAATAGCAAAGATGTTGTTCACTGCAGGCCTGGCCACATGAACCCTTCCACTGGCAAGCCTGTGGTAAGTATGTTTGACATGGTCCTGGTGAATACTGGGGCCTCTGGTCACAATGGAGGGCTCAAGGGCCTGTCCATGGGGTGTTTGAGATGCATCTTCCAAGTTGCTGGGGGGAGGTTGGTCCTGCCTGGACCATTGGTTTATGTCAAATGGTTTCAAAGCCCCCACAGTTCCAACATGGGTGATTGCTTTGCCTGGGTGACAAAAATGCCCATGGATCAAGGGCAGGCCCCAGGTGAGGTAATGCCTCTGGGGGCCATAGTGTGAAGTTGTCACCTCATCCCTTGCACAGGAGCCCAGTATCCCCAGGAATGGACTTGAAACATGGTGTTGGACCAATGGCAGACATTTGTCATCAATCCTTACATTGACCAACACATGTTGTATCACACAGGTTAGGGTCAAGGGAGGCATGAGGGTGACAGGTTTAGCTCTCCTGCCCCCCATGCCAGAAAGGACCAGGTTTCCCTGGCCCAGGTGGCAGCACTTTCAAGTGAGCCAACAGTCTTTCAAATCATCTTTGATAGACCCAACAGCACTTGGGCCAAGGACCAGGTTTCCCTGTCCCAGGTGGCAGTGCTTTCAAGTGAGCCAACAGTCTTTCAAATCATCTTCGATAGGCTGTTGGCTTGCTGGGGCCAAGGATCAGGTTTCCCTGCCCCAGGTGGCAGCACTTTCAAGCAAGCCAATGGCCTTTCCAATCATCTTCAAAAGGCCCAAGGGCACGCAGGGACTGCCACCTGAAACTGTCACCTGGATACATGTTGCCTGCTCCACATTGGCTTTGGCTATTGTCCTAAATGTCACCAAGCCCTTTAAGGCAAAGACCCTGACCCCACAAAAAGAACCCTTAATGGACCCTGGAAGAAGCCACATTGTATGGAAGAACCCTGAATCATGACATCATTGATCAATTTCATTGGCCCATCACCAGGCAAACAAGGCCACCCAGAGCAAAAATATTACAGGGAAACCATTGTTTGGTTTTCCAAATGAACAAAGCCATGCAATATGAATGTCTTGGTTTTGGGTTTGTCTGAGCCAGTGGCTGTGCCAATGTGTGCCCACACTTCTGCTAAGGGCACAAGGCCAACATCACCTGGCAAAGCCATCCAAACCTCCCACATCCATCCTTGCTCAACCCATATCTGCTTAAAAAGCTCTGCTATACTCTTGGAAAGCTCAAACTCTTTCTTGACAAATGGATGCCCCTCAGTCTACAAACTGTAAGTACCAACTGTCCTGGTTATGGGTGATGGTCTGACAGTGCTTGTGCAGATCAGTCCCAGACCAAGTCTTTCAAGCTTGGCCAGCACAATGCAGTGCATCAGTACAAGCTCTGGATGCCTACTGGCAACAGCATCACCTTGCCGGCTGGCTCAGTAGGTGACGTGGGTGATCTCACCCTTCCTTTTGGCCCTGGCGCTTGGGTGAAGACTGCCCCAAGGGTCTGGACCTTCTACAGTCAGCTGAAGGGGAAGAATGCAGTAGCCCTGCATCCTTTCAGCAGGACCAAAGATTGCTTTGATACTCTGGTGATCATTGATGATGATGGGTCCAGGCACCAGCAGACCCATTAGTCAGTGGCATCATCTGCTCCAGGTAAGCTCTCAAATCAGATGGACTATATTCTTATTGATCATGTTTGCTTAGGTACTCCCAGAGAGCAGCAGGTGACACTCTCTGCTGAACATTGTAAGCCTTCTTTCCCTTTTAATAGAAGGCTCATACTTACATATGTGCAGTTTGAAACTGTCAAGCAGGTCCTATCCTAAGGTCCCAATTGGCCAGGCAGGTCCCAGGCTCCTATAGGGACATGCTGGAGTCAGAGGATCCACCATCAGAAGAGGAAGATGTGGTGTTGGCAGCATCACCTGCAGTGGAGGCAGAGGATCAGGAGGAGCAGGAGCAGGAGCAGGAGGAGCAGGAGCAGGAGGAGCAGGAGCAGGAGCAGGAGCAGAAGCAGGAGCAGGAGCAGGAGCAGGAAGAATACAAGGAGCAAGAAAAGGAGGAGAGGCAAGAAGTTGGCCAAAAGGAGATGTCCATATTGTACATCTCTGGTAGGAGTATTATATTGATACTACTGGGTGACACTCACCTTTATCCAGATGATGAATCAGGCAAAGAGCATGCTGTGGCCCCACAGCAAGCTGTAGAGGATCCTAAGGGGAAGAAACACTGTGCTCATGGCTTGTCCAATCTAGGCGAGCTTGAAACAAGCCCTGTGCAGAAGACTCCTGCCAAGTGCCAGGTGACGGATACCTCATGAGTGGTCAATGTCCCAGCTGACCACTCCCTGAAGCTCCATTTGTTTCAAAGGTCAAATGGCGAGCTCTCAATGACTCAAACCATCTCCCCAGAGCTGGGTGATGCTCACCACCACACTCCCCCCCAACCCTGCCCCAGTGGACCATCCTGCCTTGCTGCCACCCTCAGTGATGGTGACAGTGACCAGGATTTCTCCACTATCATCCATGAGGTTGACCATTACAAGTTCATCCAGAGCAATATGGAAGAGCTCAGCTCCATGTGTTGACAATGGGGCAATGGCTGGCTGGTGGACCTCTATGAAGATTGGACCACCCGGATGAATCCTGTACATATGTCCACTGCACATAGCCAGAGGATCCTCACTGAGCTTACGGGACTTTGATATCATATCAAGAAGTATCCTACTCACAAGGTTGACGATTTTCTGGGCACCCCAGGCAAGATTATCTGCCCCACCCTTGGTTTGGTGATCCAAGATCTCTTGGTACATCAAGGCAATCTCCAGGTCAACCACCTTCAGATGGGCAGCAGGCAGCACATGTCACCAGCTGAAATTGTCACCAGCTTGCTCATGCATACTGCCACCCAAGACCAATCCAATCAGATTGTGGGCAACTTCCCAAAAGTGGGATTTGGCAACTTGCCCAGAGCGTCACCTCTTGGTGTCACCCCCTCTTGGACTATATGCATGAATGGTACAAAGTGAAGCCTACCAATGGAGAAGAGGTCAATACCTTTTCCACCCTGATTCCTGGTGGTGGAGTGAGCGACTGGCATATGGATGGATCTGGTGTGATCATGGTCATCATCCATGTGTCCAACCTGGTGGAGAAGGGCCCGAAGAAGCTATGGCTCATGGCTCCCCAGACTGAGAGAAACAATGCCATCTTGGCTAAGTTTCTTTATGCCAGGAAAAAACACATGCTGTCTGCAGCAGTGATACCCTTCCTGGAGAATATCCAGTATGTTCTGGTGACACCCAGAACATTAGAACATACTGCATTCTTCTTGGCTCCAGGAATGTGGCACTGCATGCTGACCTTTGATATCTCAGCACATGTGGCATTCCTCATCTATGATGTCAGATTATGGCTGCAGGCTCAGAAGGTGATGGAGTCCAATATCAAGAGAGTGTCTGGACTCATAGGCATGGCTGAGCAAGCTGAACAGGTGGAGATGATGATAGAGGAGTTGGATGCATGGAGAGAGGTGGGAGCACCCCAAAGGTGGGCCAAAGAAGCAAGGGCAGGTCTTTCTTCATGGCTGGCCATGCTGAAGGAGACTTGAGCTAGTTAGAACATAGTAGTACTCCTTTTCTCTGCATAATAATATACCGTCACCTCACAGCATCACCCATTGTTAAGCCTAACATGTCTGGATAATACTAACATTAATCTAATAAAGAGGGACTCAATGAAAATGTCACCCCAGATACTACTGAGATGGGTGGCATGGGCCTGTGCCCTGAACAGATTGAAATGGTTAACAATCTGACTAATGGTATCTACTAATACTTCCTGGCAGCAGCAGTGGCAGCAGTGGCAGCAGCAGCAGCAGCAGTGCCATGTGGTGCTGCTACTACTACAGCAGCAGGGTCCCCATTTTTTCCAAGGTAATTCCTCTGATGACCCCTTTCGGACGCATTTTGCCTCCAATGACCCCTCAGGCACAAATCCCTGAAATGACCCCAAGGCCTGCCCTAAGCAACCAAAGACCTTCCAATTAAGGAAGGTGGTGGTAGCAGTTCAAGATGTGCTAGGGTCCAGTCTCTTCATGTTGGTTTATGAAGCATGTTCCGACAATTAATTCACAAGCTTTTTGTTTTTTGATTAGTTATGTTACAATATGTAAATTAATTCTGCATGGATGCCTCATATAATAATTCACCGATTTTCACCATTGTAAACATAGGTGAGAGAACACCACACTTTTATGGCAAGGCAATGAATTTTGCTGCAGTTCTTGAAAATAATAGATACCATACACAATGCCAACCAGCTTGTCTTTTGAAAAAGGTCTGTTCTAATAGCAAAACATTCACAAAAATGCATTGTTGGATTGACCTGAGGCACATGCTTCTATTGCCACAGCCACTGCTTTCCTTATTTGGTTACTTAGGGGCAGCATTTGGGGTCATTTCAGGGATTTGCGCCCGAGGGGTCATTGTAGGCAAAATGCGCCCAAAAGGGGTCATCGGAGGAATTACCTCCATTTTTTCCTGATGACGGTCAGTGACAGTTGGTACTCAGACCACTCACAGATCGATCGTGGACATAGCATTTGACACACACGCGTCTAGGATACTCTCCCTTCTTCTACGAATGGCCTGACTTCCAGGCGTGATACTCCCGTGCATGATGAATTGTCCGATTATGGATTATACCAATCCCGTGGCCGCCGACGGGCTGGACTCGGAAATACTAAAGTGACCGTGGGCGCGGTTATCCGCATTCCCTGGACTTCTTCACTTGAGTCACTGTCCGTCACCGCTCGACTCACCTTTCTTGCCTGACTGTCTTCGAGTCACAGACTCTGTCTTCAAATTTTTGCGGCGTCTCCGAACGGGTGGCAGCAAAATATGCGAATGGTGCTGTTAAACCATACACCGCCCCCCTTCTTTCGATTCAAATGACAAATATATTTCTGGAACTCCAGGTTTTCTGTTTATCCTCTTGTGTTGGTGAGATAACACCGTGACCACTTTCTGACACGAGAGGTTCTCCTTTGCACCCCTTCTCGCACGAAGACTCCTGGGCGATGGTGATGGGAGCGAAGGTCGGATAAACAATCAGAATCTTGAAAACAAATGAGAACCGCAAACAGATTGACTCACGTTGACGAACAAGTCAAGCGTGTGGCGCAAATATCGTCATAATGTATTGTACGGAGAGAGGGGGTCGCACTGCACAGTTTAGATCATCCAAGGGACAGCAACAAAGATTTAAATATTTTGGTACTGACATATAATATAATCCAAGCAATTGGTTCATGTATAGATCATGTATTCGGCTGTAGAAAAAAAACGTACTGGGGCAATTCATTGCAAATCAGTTTTGATTCCGCTACACGTGACTGGATGTCGGGCACAACAGGTCATTTCACCAGCGCACGACTGGTGTCCCATAGGAGGCAATCCAAGGCCATAATTTGGTGCTCAACAGCCATTCAGCAACATGTCGTCTTCACCCATCATACCTGAGATTACGATAGAGCAGCCGGTGAAGCCACGAAAACCTCGCATGGGAATCGATCCCGCCAATATTATCGACGGACCCCGGTTGAAGAAGCGCAAGGAGTCGCCGGATCCATCAGCTGGCGGCAAGCACAAACAAGGCAGGCCCTCTGAAGAGAAGAGAAGAAGTATAAAGCAAGAAGAGGCAGATGTAGGGACTGAACAGAGAGTCAAGGTCGCCGAGGATGGTAGTGGTGTGTGGAAGACGGTGAGGGAGGAGAAAGATTCAACGTGAGTGATGGTTGCAGTCCAAGGGATATAGTCCAGCCCTGGACGCGCCAGTTTCGTCCGTTCAACGCTCATTTACCACTGCCATCTAGCGGCCGGCTCCTATGTTACGACTTCCTCCGACTGCCGAGCAGGCGTTTGTATCCTGACTATTATGAGATCATCAAGCGGCCTCTTTGTATGGAGGATGTTAAGGTATGCACAAAAATCTATCCAGAGATCTGCTCTTTACCAGTGTCCGTAGATGAGCCTCGACAGCCTCTCGTATTCGAATCTCGAAGCCGTCAGGCAGGACCTACTCACCATATTTCGCAACGCTCAGCGGTACAACGTGAAGGAGAGTACCATTTGGCAGGATGCTAAACATATGAAGGTGTGCTCGCCAATATGGTCTATCAATCCACATCCTCTGACACAATCCACCCAGAAACTTATCAACAAACAATTCAAAGCTCTAAATCATCATAGCCACGATGATGATGACGACGACGACGAGCACGCTGGCCAAGCAAAACCTATACATGAACAAGCTGAGCTGGACGTCGATGGCGTGGACATCGGCGTGGACGGTGAAGACGCTCATGACGGTCATGAAGCAGAAACCGGCGTGAAGTCCAGGAAGCGCAGACCGCCCACGATGCAAAAGGCTCTGCGCTTCAGACTACAGAAGTTGACAAAGAAAACCGATGAAGAGTATGCAGCTTGTTGGTCTCTAATTCTACGAGACTGACCAGGATTAGAGCGAACCGCGATCGTTGCGGCATCTTCATGGAGTTGCCTAGTCGCAAAGACTGGCCACATTATTATGAGCTAATTAAACAACCGATGTGTTTGAGTCAGATTCTGGTGCGCACATCCCATGCATACATCACGCATGTCGCTCATGGACTCTGGTACTTATAGGAGAAAGTCAACAAGAACGAATATACGTCAGCAGCAGAGTGCACTGCAGACGTCGATCTCATGTTCAGCAATGCATTGACATTCAACGAGGAGGGTTCGACTATCGCAGAGGATGCTAAATTTCTGAGGGTGCGCACGAGTTTTTGGCCCAGTGCGGTAGATGTGCTGACTTTGAATTTGCTCATAGCAAGCTTGGCACGACAGTCTAAAGACTCTTCCAACAAGGATTTCTGATCAGCCTTCGTCAAACGGCGATGCGTCCTTAACCAAAATCAGGATCAAACGCCCACTGGAACCTGTTTTGGGGACAAGCTCACTGGTCAACATCGATGTCGGCTCTCCAGCTAAGATGGTTTCACCAGTCTTAGTTTCTCGATCACCGGGCTTGTCGCATACATCGCCAATTCTTCCTGCTGCCCGAGTTTCGGAAGGGCAATCCCGAGCAGCCTCCGAAGCGGCAAGCTCTCCCCTTCTTGCGGGCCCAGCGCAGTACCAGGCTCCTACGCCGGTACCAGGTATGGCACGTCAGTTTCCGAGTGCGAATCCCCTGGCTGCGTATTACAGTACTCTGTATCCAAGTCCTGCTGGCCGTTCATCACCTTATATGTCTCCTCCCACCGGTGGTTCACAGTCTGGTGCATCAACTGCGACTGCCCTCATTCCAACAGGTGTTTCATCCGCTGGATCGGAGCAGAACCCTCCAACAGGAAATGGCACATCCACACCGGCATCGGTCCCCACTGCCGCGCCAATGGCAAAGTCACCTCCTCCCCCCGAAGATCCGAAGAGAAGAATCATCAAACAGATCGACTTGGTCATCCAGCCTTCGAACCGAACAGTTGCCCTAAAGGACGACATTGCAAAGGCCTATTCTCTCATCTTGGGTCTCAGCGAAAGCAAAATGCTGATCGGCCTAGAGTTCAACCCTATCTATACGGAAGAAAACGCCACAGAGGGTTCCTCCACCGACGATGTCCAGATAAGCAGTCCAGTTGATAACAACTCGTTGTCACACCATTTCACCTGCACAGTACGAGTAAACGGCAAGGTGGTTGAAACGATGCCGACGGATGAATTGGTCGTAAATGGGAATGCTGACCTTGGGAGAGAATCACCAGCATGGCTTGTGGAGCTCACCTCCGGCATGAACGTCGTTGATATTATTGCGGAACCGAGGGAATCTCAAGGGAAGGCACAAGTGTGGAAGCTCTTCGTGATGAAGGTCAGCTGAGATTTCCCCATGGGGTTACGAGATGTGAGACCATTGTTTTAATTACGTGTATCGCCTATAGTCACTGGGATAGTCTGGCCTTGTAGCATTAATGTGCTCTATAGGATGTAATCACAATTGAAGCCTTGCTACAACTACTGGGCGTTAAGTTAAATATTGTTAATAAAGTACAGCATTGAGACCGGAATAATAAGAAAAAAAACACGCTCATTCTGGGAGACGGAAATACAGGCCAGCAGTTCACATTGTCCAGAAAGAATCTGGGAATGAGGTGAGCCCGATCATTGGTGTCATGCCTTGCTCCGCTTGCAATTGCATAAAATCACCCTGCACTTGCCTCCTCCGCCTGCTGTCAATCTCCATTTGCAGATGACCAACCTTTGCGGTTTCGTCCTGTAGAATTCGATTCACTTCCGACTTGGTCTGTCGGAGACGCTGTAGATCTTCGTCCAGGGTCGCGGTGCGTCGGCTCAGCCTGTCAATCTCTTCACGCAGGGTGGAAAGGGTCTCCTCTTTTCGCTGCCGGGAGAGTCGTTGAGCCTCTGCGTTCGCACGTCGCCGTTTTTCCAGCTTCGCGAGTTGCTCAGGACAGGGTGATGAGTTGGCAGAGTGAACAGAGCCGCCGCTGTCGCTCCCTCTGCGACGAGATGGGCCGCTCTCCTCCGGTCGTGCGTATGGGGAGCTTCGTTTCGCTGCTCTCGGGAGCTGGGATCGAGCCTTGGTCGGAGCGTGGACTGGACGAAGATCGGTTTTCTTCAAGCCTTTCCGAAAGCCGCTCGGGGGAGAGAACAGCCATGGTCGATCGTAGGCTTGTCCGTATTGATATGCGGTTCCTGTCGAGTCATAGTTCATGGTGGTGTAATCGACTGATACGCTATTGCTCAACCAGCTCTCTGCAGATATTCCGCTAAGGGCTGACACAGGTTCGGACAGGGTTTGTGCCTGAGCGTCTATATCCCAGGGCGGAAAAGATGGCGGATGGATCCTTGGCACGGTGAGGGAGTTGGCTTGGCCGTCGAAAATATCCATGTTGAAAGAATAAGGAACCGGAAGAGTCATCACTGAAAGCATTCTATATCAACCGAACCGGGGAGTTCGAGAAAGTCCGGGAGTGCGAGCAGGATGACACTGAGAGAATTCCGGAATTGCACCGTTCTTCGACCGCGGTGACGTTGCAAGGCCTCACTCCCCAACAATGAGTTTGATGATGGCACGTCCCTGTCTTAATGGCGATCAGCGTCAATGCATAGACAAGCGGTGGCTAGTTATACATACAAAGAGAGTCGATCTAATTCAAGAGAGCATGAAGATACACGAAGGTCCGCCTCGATGTTGCCTGTGATGCCGCACAATTGGACAACGTGGCTCTAAAAAGAAGCGCTGGTTGCCGGTGGATTCGAAATAGTTCTGCTAGCGTTTGCAAGCGACCCTTCGTGTTCATATGGGTTTAAGGTACAGCAATACGTTTGCCAAATCACGGGTAGGTGTATTTAAGTGGAAGAGGGTACGAATTGGTACGTGATAGAAAGGGACAGAAATGGTCGAGTCGCGATAAGGCAATGTGCGGGCCAGCTGTGCTCGTTTCTATGGTGGGATCATGTTGAAATATGGGTTTCAGCGAACCCAGCATTGGCGATATTTGGGTGTCCAGGATGCCGATATTTGCGGAGCAGTTAACTGCCCTAAAAGATGAAGGGCGGTGCAAAGTAATCACTCAGGCTGATGTATGGCAACGTGAGTAGCTTCTTTCTTGACTTCCAATTATAAATTCCAAGAAGGGTCTTGCGTGGATAGTTCGGTGTTTGTCCGGGGGCAGTTCTGGCCAAGATTGATCTCGAGAATGCAGTCCTTGGCACAGGCAATAATAACGTAATACCATAAGTATCCTACAGCTACTCCAGTGCACTGTCCGTTTCTGCCAGTCCATGAATCTCTTCAGCCAGTCCATGAATCTCTTCAGCCATCCCATTTGTGGCTATTCCTCCGGCACTCTCGTTGACAATCACGCGCCCTTCCCAGGCATCGATATGCTGCTCCCATACCCGGTCTCGGAAAACGCCCTCATCTTCGGCATTGTCCTCTTCGGAGGAGCTCGAATCCTCCGCCGAGGGAACGTACCGGTTGTATTTATCAGGCGGGGGAAGGGTAGATGGTCGCGTCTTGTCGCCCAAGTCGGATCTTGGCCGATGTGCTGGCATCGTTGTGGCACCAAGAAGGGCGTCATCATCCCGAGTGTTCGGCAACTGTACCTGGTTGCCTACGGCACTATCAGGCACTGGCTCCTCCCCTTCACGTTCGAGACCTCTTCGAGCAGCATATTTCCGGACAATCTCCTCTCTGGCCCAGGGTGTGAGGGGTTTAACCTCCCAGCCCTCTGACCCTCTGCGCGTTTTTGGCCGTCCAGTTCTTGTGTCATACGCATCGACATCGGCATCCTCATCCGTGATCTGATCCCCGTTGCGCGCAGCTCTTCTAGCTCGCACAAGACCATGATTTTCCTTCGGATCAGAATCATCCTCGGATGATATCGGCGAGGTCGAATTAGGTTCTTCATTATCGAGCGACTTGAGGAAAGTGGTAAAAGCATCTGGCTGCCGCTTTGTTCTCTTGTTGGCCGCTTTATTCCGCTTGTTTGCGGCTCGCGCTCGTAACCTCGTATTCGAGGGTTCGAGATGTGGGTTGACACCGGAGCCGTAAGTCCACGGTGATTCCGGCATCGGACGTGGCTCGTAGTAGCTGCTCGGGTCTTTCGGTGGCCAGATAAAGGGCACATGCTCCTCTACAGAGAATGGCATGAGCATGTCTATCTATGAAAGTCCGTGAGCACTCACCCAGGAAGCACGGTGAGCTCGGCGTACCCAGTAAACTACACCGTGTCCCCCGCATCGTCGTCTCCCCCTCGACCCCACGAGCGGGCATACGCGTCATGTCCATTCTCGTGCAGCGCGACTCCGCCATTGCCTGCCACGGGATTCCTGAGCCCATTGCTGTAGCCGTGGCTATTCGCAGGTGGAGGGTTTGGATATGGGTATGGGTGCGAGGCCGGGGGAGAAGCCGCGAGTGGCGAGGAACGCTCTTTCCCTGAATGGGCATTCCACTCACCTGTACCGGCTTCAACGGGGTAACTCAAGCCGTCTCCTTGCACGCTCAAGGTGGGCCAGCACCAAAAGAGCGGGTTGGGGCCAAGCACATAGCGAAGATTCTGTAACATGCCCAGGTTGTACGGGAACTTGATCTATTCCGGGATGAGAGGAATCAGCCCCACACGAGTCAGCAAGGGCGATGCGGGAAGAGCAAGGAGGACGTACCTTCTCGATCCGGCCACGGCGAACGAGCATAGCGACCTTGTCCTTCTCCCATGCCTCGATCGTTGTGGTGTTCGTCGCGAGCAGATAAAAGTGGTACAAGCTAAACAGGCCCACAGCAAGCAGAACAGGCACACATGTCGCAAAGTTGAGCGCGGCCCATACAACTTGTGATGTTGTGGGCGAGAACTGGCATTCTGTTAGCCACCGTGCCAAAGCTAGGAAGTCTCGGACATGCCTGCATATACCGATAGTCGACAACATCCCAGACCATGCGCATGAATAGCGTCATGTGATAGGTACAAGCCAAGTCGACAAAGAACAAGAAACGCATGAAACTGGCGTAGTTCTTGTGTCCCACACAGTTATTCACCCACGGGCAATGGTGGTCCATCCGCAAGGTGCAAGCGTTACATTCCCGGCAATGGTGTGCTACAAGAAAATACGACATCAGCTCCATTAGGGCGGACAAGATAAGCATAACGCACACCGTGGCGGCTTGTACACCTTGCATGTTCGGCAATATCTTAACTTCCCATTCCCTTGCTTGACTTCGAAACTCTGCCCTTCGCCTGTCTGTGGCACCCATCCATCTGGTATTCTTCCAGGATCTGTCCAGACAACAAGATAGTAGTTCCACCATATGAGTCCTACGAGTATGCTGTGCAAGCGTAAGTGCTTTAACCGGAGAAGGGAGGGCTATAGGGAACACACTTGAAAGGCAGCATCGCCCATATGAAGTCTACGCTCACGGTGTACCCATACCAGGGGTAGAAGACGAACAGCTGGGAAGAGTAGGCGATGAATGCGATGAGAAAGCAGGTGACTACCACACTTTTATTGAGTTAGCATTGATTGCTTGGATGGTGACAGCGGCGTACAGCACACGTCCTAAAACTCCAGCCATGCTTGCTCTCTTGGTTGGTTCCCTTCCTTCCTTTTCAATATGGGGGTATAGATGGGATAGATGAACGATGGGAGACCAGCACGATTGTGCAGGAAAAGGAAGAATTAGAGAGGAATACGCATACAAGGTGGTGAAGGATCACACTGGTCGGGAATGCAGACAAGGGACAGACACGCACGGCTTGCGCGTCGCGTTAGTCACAGGTTACTGGACATGGCCGATATCGACGGGTTGTACAGTATTACGAGAACGACCGCGCCTTAAATTTGTGTGGGAAATTGGGGGGAAGAAGTACAAATAATTGATTGGACAATCCGAAAGCATTAGTAAACGAATCAAGATGCGGTGAGAGGGTGCGCTGCATTTCTTGAGCAGAACCTACGACTTCGGGCTAAAGAACCACCAGAATACTAAGTATGCGGCGATGAGCCCGCCAAACAATCGCACTTGGGGATCGAGGTTGTTGAACCACGCCCATGGGTCGGGTGCTTGCGAGGATGCGGTGTCCGGGGCTGCTGTGGGTGAGGCATCCGGTCCACCGAGCGTTTGGCCTTTACCGGAGAAGGCAGTTCCGCTCGAGGGGAGGGAATGTTGACGGAGGGCGGTTTCGATACCCCTACCAGTGTGTGTTAGTGATCAAGGATGAAAGGTCCGAGATGGTGGAGAGAACGTACCGTACGTCAGCACCACGTACTGTAGCAACCTTTTGGCCATTCTTGAGGAAGACAAACGTAGGCTGTTGAAATGTCAGCTATTAGTCATTGAGGGGAGAGAAGGCTCACCATAGCAGTTATCATGTAATCCCTGGCGACATCCCTGCATGCGTCTACATCACACTTCAGGAACAGAGCGTCCGTATATTGCTTGCTCAGCGCTTCATAGCGCGGCGCGATGGCATGGCATGGACCGCACCATGTCTACGTATCGAATTCACAAACAGATCAGCCTAATAAGGAACAGAGTAAGGAAGGGAGCGTACAGCGTGGAAGTCGATCACGGCGAGTTTGCCGTTATTAGCTGACAGAAGGGTGGAGAGCTGCTTCGAGGAAGTGATATGGGTAATCGTCGACATTGTTGCTCGCCCAGCGAATTAGTGACGATGACCAAAAAGATAGATAGGAGCGAAAGTTGAGCTGATGGTCGCCGTTGCAGACGACGAGCAGCAGTTAGCAGCAATATCTCTCGAGGGCGCAACGATCAGCAGCACAGAGAGGTCCAGCGATCATCACCTCACCAGTGATCAACAGCTCGGCTCCGGCGGCCCTTCTCTTCTCCGTTCGGCATCGCGGCAGAGGTGGACCCCTGAGCACAGCCACTGAGCCTTGAGGCCCAAAAGTACCCAAAATTAATTTGATTTTTTGTGGCCTGTCTGCTCAGCTTTACAACTCGTGCGACTCTACAGGAAAAATGGGAAAGTCACAAAAGAAAAGGACGGGGAGGAGACATAACCCTGTACGGGTACCAGATGATCACCTTGGACATGGATTGGCAGCGGCGAAGGATTCAGTACCCGCGGACCGGGCCGCACAAGTCTTGCCTGTTATGCAGAAGGTGAGTTCCTCTCCCCTTGCCTTATGTCGTGTGCTGATAGGGTAGTAGTTGAGTGCCCCAGACGCAGGAGACCGGACTTGGGCATGCGCAGCTATCTCAAATCTCATTTCCAACGATCCTGGCACACGTCGGCTCCTGCAAGGCAAGAACGTCGTCGGCCAGCTGATTACCAGGCTGAGTGACAGCGCTGAGGAGGTCGTGGTAGAGGCGAGCGGGGCACTAAGGAATTTATGCATTGATGGAGGCGTCGAGTTGGGAAGGGAGATGTATAACAAGAACGTACTAAGTCCGCTCAAGGCTTGCGTTCAGAAAGTGCGTGCAACACAATTCGAACAATTGGGTAGCTAACCTTCCGCAGATGTCGACAACACTCGATCGGATCATCTCTGACATCCCTGCAGAGCCCGCCGAGATCCCAGCCCGAAAACTTGTTTACCCCTTTGCGGAAAACGTGCTCACACTCTTTTGGTGCCTCTCCGAAACCTCCCAAAAGGCTTTAACAGCCATCAACGCCCTCGACCTCCCTCCTTTCCTTATGGCATTCGTGCTCAACCGCGAGCGGATTCCACTCAGCACCGTCATCGCCGCTGCGCAGTGTTTGTACGTGCTTACGGACGACAATGACCCGTTTGTGGAGAGCGTGCGGAGCTCGGGCGAGTGGGTAGGCGCACTCATGGACTGCGCGCGTCAAGCAGAGATACAACCGAATGGAATGAACGGGGTGAATGGAGTGAACGGCTTTCCTAAGAAGGACAAGGCGAAACCACGGGAAGATCCCGAGCGTCAAACAGAGCTGCGTGTCCTCGCCTGCGGCATCCTTAGAAATATCATTCCCCTTCCGTCGCTCCTCCCTGCAGCGGCAATCGATATCGACGCGCAGATCGTACTCCCCACTATCATCCCACTCCTTTCTCTTCCATTGTCCGTCACGGCGGCTCGCGCAGTAGAACTGCAAGGCAAGACTACGGCCAAACCGTTGCCGAAGAAGAACCAGCCGCCGGGGAACGATCACCTTACTGAAGAAGAGCAGGAGCTGGAAGGCATAGAGCGCAGACTGCGTACGTTGCTCATGGCCCTTGAGGTGCTAGCGGGTGTGTGCGCTGTGCTACCAGACGAAGTCCCACTGGCGACCGAGACTGAAGAGGCGGGGATGGACGAGGACATGGACGAGGACCTACCTCCCGAGGGCGGCGGGGAAAACGAAGGCGACGAACATGAAGAAGAAGAGACACCAGTTGAACATCCAGAGGCGAGCGAACCGGCGCTTCCCCTCCCATCAGTGCTCCAAACGCTCCTCGCCCTTCCCTCTCAGCTCCTTCCTCTCATCCCTCCACCACCGGTCTCCTACCTCTCCCCTTCACCTGTGCCGCCTATCACCTCCGCTCTAGCACAGATCCACCTCCGCGCGCTAGAGGCCTTGAGCAATTTGTTCCTTGGAGCGGCTGCGTTTGGCGCGCCGGTGCCGAGGGAGACAAGGGAGGAAGTGTGGCGTGTTGTATGGGATGTCGTTAGCTTCGCTCAGCAGGGAACGCAACACGATGCAGACAGCACGATGAACAGCACCGTGCTTGTTGACACGAGCATCCCTAAGCAAGCGGAATTCAAGATCCCCGAAGAAATGCGGGAAGCGGCCGTTGGAGTGCTTTGGGCGTGCCTCGAGTCCGCCGGGTCGGACGCTACTGCCGACCTGGGGGTGCCGGATGACACCGCGCATAAACTTATGCAGATATGCGCATCCTCAGTGGACGAAGCTACGCGGGCGCGGTGTGTAGGATCGCTTGCTCGGCTCGGGCAGCGCGCGGATCCTCGGCACAAGGAGGAGAATAAAATGATTGCGGTATTTTTGTTCCACCCGTTCACACCGCCTTGCAAGTCACAGAGTGCACAGATGACACTGGCACACATGCATGGAGTCATCGACATGTTCTCTGATGAGACCAGCGCCAATGATGTGGTGTTCGACGAGCTTGGCTGTCTAGGAAGGATGGAACAGGCTAGACATTGGCTTAACCGAGAAGTGAGGAGATGGAAAGGCAGGGAAAGGGATGAAGGGAGGGTGATGGTCACGGAGTGGACGAGGTTTGTGACATGGCGGAAGAGTCTCCCGGAAGTGGGAGAACAGGAGGATGCACTGATGGAGTAGTTTTGGAGGACTATACCACCATTTGGATGACCAGTTATGATTGATTAATGCATTGTATTTACTTTCTCTTCTTATGACCCTTTACAAAGCTTGGGATTGTTTGCGGAGCGTGAGTCATTTCTGGGCCATCGGACAAGAAGAACAAGAATTGCTTCCGTGTGAGCTCTCCAACTTCTTTGGGCCGCCTTGTCAGTGGCCGTCTTACCGTGTGCTCAACGCATACAAAAGCTCAGCATCGAACACTTACACACACCTCCATCCTCACCCCCACCATCACCAAGCCATTCCAACACGCACTTGCCTATCAATCTCTTCTCTTCATAATGCCTCCCCTTGCAGCAGCCGCGATCCGTTCCGCGATCGACCCATCTAATCGCCCCGGAGGTTCACTACTCGACCGTCTTTCTCCCGCACCATCCGTTCCCAATGCACCCTCAAGGATCCCTACCGCGAGAGGTGGAGGAAGAGGTGGTCATCAGAGGACGAATGGCATTAGTGTGAGGGGTGCTGCACCGCGAGGGGGAGGCCCGGGCGGGCGAAAGCCGCTGTATGTGAAGAACGAAAAGTGCGTGTTTTTAACAAATGGGAAAGGAATTTACTAAGAGTACCCGGTCGCGCTTGTTTAAAGTGTGGAGCTTGCAGACAGGGCAGCAGATGACTTTGTTGCTGTTTTCTATTCGAATATGGATTCTACTGGGCGAGCGGTATGTCGGCATGCACGTCTCCCGTCGCGTTTTCTAACACATGTATGGATAGAGCTTAGCAAAAATGTACCGGCCTTCTTCGACACTTATTTGGAATGGCAACAAGATGCAAGGCGTGGAATCGATCAACGACTTCTTCTCAAAACTCCCACCCTCGAAGCATGATCTCAACTCCTATAATTGTCACCCCATACCTGGTATTTCGCGTCCCGCACTCTGGGTATCCATAGTCTAAATTGGTATCCCAGGTACAGAAGGTCTGAATGACCGCAAACCATCCTTGATGCTCGTTGCATCTGGCTCGGTGACACATGGGAAGGAACCTGTCGAACACGCTGTCCCGAAATATTACCCAGTTGCAGACGCGCTCCCGAGGGCGTTCTGCCAGACGTTCGTTCTGTGTCCCGATATTGAAGGCTCTGGACTGCCGCCGGATCAGTGGAAGATGGTCGACCGATACTATATTATATCAGATCACCTACGATTTATCGATTAGGCGAGGATGCTGTGCTGGTTATTCCCTGCATTACTGGTGTATTTCTATCTCATGACGCATAATGATATAACGCAATGTTCCCCGAGCGGGCATGCGATGTCAATTTCCCGGTGGGTCATGCACCCAGAAGTAGAACAGACAACATATATCGATGTATCCGAATCACCCAATTTTGCCCCTGTTTTTTCTGCTGCGGCCTATGTTGTGGGCCAAGTCCTATTTTACGCGTGGCAGTACGGAAGCACCGGTCGCGGATGTTGTTCAACCTCGCAGCAAGCGCGTTGTGCCCGTCCTCAGCGCTCACCTTTTACCATACGCAATCCTCTCTTCTCTTCTAGCATTTAGCTGGTGTACGTCGCTTGTCAGACGACGTGCACACCGTCCAAGACGGCAATCATCACCTCAATTCACAGCGCACAAAACAGCGACAACAAGTCCGCAGCTAGCGCACAGGACCAACAACAAGGCCAACGCGCGCCCACGACACCCCCAGCAGCTATAGTGGCAGACGGCAACACGGCGTCCAACGGAGCCCGCTCGCCTCTCACCGCGCAACAGCAAGCGCACCATCTTACCCTCACAACTTCCTCGGGATCTCTACATCAGAAAAGTAACATCGACGCCATGCCGGCCCGCGGAGGCGATGGGTACGACTTTCGCCCAATCGTTACCCACTACCTTTTCCTTTTCACTTTCATCCTCGCTGCCGTGCGTGTTTTAGTCTCCTTCATCGCGAAGTCAACTCATGACGTACAGATTGGATGGCTTGTATCTTTCGTCAGTCAGTGCGCGGTAGAGGCACAATGTGCGTATTTCACCTCATATACGTGGATCGTACTGATCTCACAACAGGGGGCAACGGTCCCGTTGGCGTGTTATGGTTCGCCATTTTGTGCGTCATCTCGTCCCCCTTTTTTACTCCCTCTCATCCCATCATATCAGCCTGCAACTCGCGCTCATTATCGGCGTATTCCACTCGCTGGCGACGGACTCCATCGCCACCCACCGCCTACAGGTTAGTCCGCAGCATCCCGCAGCTTGGCTTCCGGAAGCACTGCTCGGTCCGTGATCTCAGTCTGACAATACGCTCTCCACAGATCTCCGTGTTTGGAGGCGTTATGATCGTATTCGCGGTTAATGGAGCCAATGTCGGGATTTTCGGAGGTGCCGCATCTGAGCAGGCTATGGGTGCAGGGTACCTAATCCTCGCAATTGTCGACGTGAGTCTGGTACTACCTCACTCATGCACGATTCGTAACCAACCTCTTCGTAGATCGTTTGGGTACTTTACTTCACCGCGGAAGAAGACTCGTATATGTACCACATCTTCCAGCAGATGGGCTCGGGCGGGCTCTCAGGGCCTTCACGCGGGAACCGCAGGCGGACACGTACCTCCACCATGGGCAACATGGGCATCTCTTCGGGAGGAGGGAACGGCTACGCATCTGGCGGGTACTCAAATGCCGACGTTGGTGGAGGCGGGATCGGCGGACCGGGGAGCCTTACAGGTGGATTCGGCGCACCCAAGTCAAGCTTCGGCGACCACCGCGACTCGAAGCCGATCAGCGGAGTGCTGAGCAACCCAGGGAGCCAGCCAGGTGCTGCTCCAACAGCGGCCAGCGAACGCGAGGCGAATGGTAGCATTACCAACCAGAGTCAGCCTCTCATGAGCACGGGCGATACAGCCCAGAGTGCAGGAGATACGTATGCATATAGGGCACGTGCACTGTATGCCTGTGAGTACATTTTGAACTGTCGATGCAGAATATATGCTCATCTCAACACCATAGACACCGCATCACCGGACGACCCGAACGAGATTACGTTCGTCAAGGGCGAAGTGATGGACATCCTCGACAACACGGGCAAGTGGTGGCAAGCAAGGAAACAAGACGGCTCGACTGGTATCGCCCCGTCCAGTACGTTTTCATTCCTTCACGTACTTTCCGATTACTGACATGAGTTTCTGCAGACTATCTCCAACTCATCTGATACCACGCTACCTTTCCTCTCCTTCCGATCTCGGCTTACCTAACGTTCTTGTTCTCCTTTATGCGGAAACGACACCAGGCAGACTCCTCTCGCTCACGTTCGTACCCTGTAACTCCTTTCCTTTAATGGATATTTCATTCTTCCTAGTTCCACTCCTTGTCCTGTTCCTGCCTCTTTCGATGCTTCACTGTTGGGGACGAGAGCGTGCAGGTCCGAACCGGGGTTGGATCGTACGACCCGACTCTCAGGGAAGACGTCGGTTACCTCCGTTCCGAGCAGTTTTTCATCTAGCTATCTCTTTTACGAACGTTATGTAGCGATGGTACAAATTGATAACAGTACAAGAGATCGTTCTCGTTCCCTCCCTTCGCGCCTATTGTGCAACGTATTGGATTCGATCTGATTTAAGTACATGACTGCGGAGGACCGGCTCATGAATAATAGAAGCTATACAATAAGTTTGGGGGATGATGAGATAATGTACATGTTGCTAAGGAGTGCTACTATACAGCTGAAACCCAAAGAAGACTCACATGCACAATACTGTGCCATGTTAGGTGCGCAGACTCTGATGGGAAATTGTTTCCATGGAAGTAAAACCTTTCGTCGTCGTCTGCGCAGCTCCGGTTATTGTTGGTGACAGTGCGCAGATTACAATCCTGAGGTTTTCAAGATGCTCTTTTACCGGACAGATATGCACCTGGCAGCCTCCTTGCTTATATGTCTACTGTCAGCAGAGAAGAATTCTGAGCTCAGAGCAGTGCAAGAATGGTAGCAGATCAATGTCTGTGAACGTGACAGACTGGAGATGCAGATGCAGGCAGCAAGGGGACGGTCCAGGGCAAGGGAGTTGTTGAGGAAGAGGAAGAGGAGGGATCAGCAGAGGCATAGAGAGAATCAGTCTGACTCCCTGAAGACGATAAGGCAGAATTGGGTTTCACTCAAGTCGACGCAGCAATGGCAGCTGAGGAGTATGGAAATGTGCTTGAAGAGAGGTTTGCAGACATAGTATACTGGTGACTAGATACCATGCAATGTACATAAACACTGCTGGAAAAGTGCGCAAAGCTATCTCAACGTGGTGACACAGGGAAATTATGCGCAGCCGACAGTGGTGGTGACAGGTGACGTGCGCACCTAACATGGCACGTACAGTAAGCTCAGCGGTATCAAATCCATTGTTGAGTTGATGTCTCCCTCTTCCGAAGGTCCGCGGAGCGATTCGGGCTTCTGGATAGCGCCGACCCTGCGGGGCTTATCGGGCGATTGGAAGAAGTGGGCGAGAGCCAAGGGAAGGCGTGCATGTCCTCCCTTCCTTGGTGGAGGGATTGCATAGGTACCGGAGACTTGACAGAAGGTGAATAAAGGACAACGGGGTCGATCGGTTCTGACAACGGCAAGGAGATATCGGTCTTCGTTTTCCTGCCTTTCTTTCCTGAGCCGAACAAGCCCCCAAAATGATGCTTCTTGGGTTTGGGCGCGGATGGAGGTATATTGTGTTCGCTAAAATTGGAGTTTCGTGAGGGGGAACGATTGAGGACCATGACGACATCCTCGGATACGCCGAGGTTGCGCGCAGCTTTAGACGGGATCTGCTGTGCGAATTGCTGATGCGTTATACGGAGAAGTGGGGAAGCTCTGTCGGCGTATTCATCCATGTCTGAGAAGAGCGAGTCGAGGGAATCACGCCGGCGGGGCTTGGAAAGGGGCGATGCCCGCATAGACATCGGAGCCGGAGAGGGACTAGGAGCGGCAGACCGGAGCGGCGAGTGGTAGTCGTCTAAGAAATCGAGTCCGTTCAGAATCAGAGGACTGGGAGAACGCATAGGCCGAGGGGGGACGGGGGTCTTCGCGGGGCTTGCTGAACGGATAGAAGGCGCGGGTGATACTTGAGTTGGGCTTAGGCAGCCGACGCGCGGAGGGGAGTTAGAATGTTTGACCGGGCTGGGGGTGCGCCTAGGGTTGGCAGGTATAGGGATGGGCGAGGACTCGGGGGAGCCGCGTTGACTGGCTTGCTTGACCTTGTCCGCCTTGACTTGCAGAGGCGAGTTCAGAGGAGGCACCATAGCTATATGCAGTGTCAGGTTGAGGACAATCGGTAGTTTTTTGTGCACTCACTCCTCCACAAGTCGTCAGTCGAGCGCTTGCCGTGCTTGACAGTCTTGACAGGCACGGGGTGCACCATCTCCTGCACAAGACTGACATTGGCCGGCGTCTGAGGACGCTGCGGCAGGTCCTTGTTAATCCGCAGAGGCAACGTCGTCATCAGCGGAGCGGGGTGCTTTTGGCATGCAGAGACGGGGGCCAGCACCTGTGGGCGTGCGACCGGCGTACGGGGCGGGGACGGTCGAGCGGGAGAGAGCAGCTGCTCTTGGTTCAACCGCTCAGAAACACGCAACACAGTTTCCCTATCCTTCATCGCTTGATCGATGTCGATCTCCTTCTCAGCTTGGAGAGGCTTGGTGTGCGCGACGAGGAAGACGTCGTCCAAATCAAGAGGGGTGAGAGTCTCGATAGGCAGCTGGATCGGTTCAAGCACCGGACTGGGCCAGAGGCTGTCTGGCAAGCAGGCAGAGCTGGGGACAGGGCTGGGCTGCTCGTTCGTTTTCGGGTCGGTCTCGAGGATCGTATTGATCTTGGTAGGCAGCGGGGGTTCGATCTTGGTAGAAATAGTAAGGTTCTTCAGGCTAGGCCGTCTGGTGGATCGAGTCGGATTAACGGGAGATCCTGAGTTCAGTTCCCAGAACGGGAAGCCGAAGCCGCCTTCCGCCCAGGTGGGGGAGAACAGCTTGGGCGATTCGGGGAAGGGCGCATATTGCGATTTCTGCCGCTTGAGGTTGGTCCGCAGTGGGTGGATGCTGGCGTTCGTAGGCTGACGCTTGAGGGGTGAGCCGTCGGCCCAAACGAAAGGAAGGGAGAGCACCGTATCCCTGTTCGTCAGCTTGGGATGTGCGTCGTCAGGTGAGGGATTGGAGGAGGGAAGCGCCAGCGAATAATATGTCTCTGGATAGCCGTAGCGGCAGGAGAACCGCTCTCTTGGGGAAGGATCTGTCGGAGACGGAGGGTAACGACCTGTTGGCGAGGGGGTGCAGGGCAGGACTTCGTCTAGATACCTGCTGGTCTCGTCGAGCTGGGCCATCAGGGAGGCTGTATCGGAAGCCGGAACAGATGCACGACGTATATTCCCGTTGGAGTACAGGTCGTCGCCTGTGAAAGGTTAGTACGACCCACGGTGCTCATGCGGATATACGTACTGATTTCCGCTCGGGGTGGAAGGGGAAAAGATGCGTGAAATTCCTCTTCCCTCCCTTCTCCATCATAGGAGATGTTACTCGCTACGGAAGGCCGGTGCAGGAGCGTAGCAGAGAATGATAGCGTGCGCTTGTGCCTCACCCCAGCTGTCGACAGCCCCGCGAGAGGAGAGGAAGGGATGCCAGTGCCAAACAAGATCTCCCTCGATATATTCTTCACCGTGATCGTATTCGGGGGAGAGTCCATGCTAGATTCGGAGGAGCTTGACGCAGAGGACAGTGGGGGAGTGCCAGCGTAGGAAGTCATCAGGTCTGCTACGAAGACAGCGAGATCAAGGTCGGACGTCAAGTTGGAGGTCTTTAGTTGACTTGGTCGTCGGTAGTTATCATTCGTGTTGGTGTAGAGGAGGTGGGAGGGCGGTGTGGGCATCGAAGTCGCAGTTAAGGCCATGGTTCAGACTAGTACGGGGGTAAGGCCACGTCCACAAGACAGAAAGTGCAGAACAGAAGACGGGGATCAGCTCGTCGAGGATATGAAACGAGCCAGCTAAGTCCCATCTCTCGACATGCAACGAGGTTTTATCAAGGGATAGCATCCTATAATTCTTTCCTTTGTCCAAAGAGCTGTAACAGTGTGAGCAGGGAACAAAAGCGAGACATCCGTTCGTTTATTGTCCAAATACGGGGTGGCAGTGCTTCCACGTGTGCTTTGTTAATGTTCCATCCTCTCGGTGTCGACCATTGGACCTTCTATTGTTCTTCCTCGGACAGCATTCGCGAGCGTTGGCACATTCCTGTCAGATTATTTGCTCATTCGTCCATCTTCAGTGACAACATCAGATATCCAGCAGCTTTACTGAAGCATGACCATGGCCTGAACCCGCAACCGAATCTGAAACGATCCAGCTCTTCCTTCCGTGACAATGGACGCTCCCGATCGGGTACACAGATACGCTTCTGCGCAGATTAGGAATCGGGCTTCCCCTGTGGTCGGGCCTCGTGTTTCCCTGTCGGAACCTCCGCTACCCTGGACGGGCCGGGAAGGGACCACCGGTGCGTTCACCAGAATATCATCGATCATTGTCTGTCCAATGCCAATGTATCAATGCTGACAACGTGTTCCCTCTGCACAAAAGCAGAAAGGTGATTCCCCTCCCGGGTGGGACTGCCATGTGTTACCGGAGGAGTTTCCGACACCGTCTACCCGATAGAAGAACCCCCGGCCGTTTCACCATCTCCCATTGTCAACTACTATCGGGCTCTATCTTGCCCATCCACGTCCTCACTCATATACTTGCTCCCGTGCTCGTTACTCGCTCGCACGATCTGCTCATCTCCCGATCAAAGCTGTCTTTGCGGCTCTAAAAGCAGAATTTGATCATGCAAGCTAGTCAAGAGCCAACAGTGCTCCTGATGCGTCTCCCTCTGGACAGCGTCCTTCGCCTCGAGTCTCAACGATGAAAATCTTTATCCTGACTCGGCAAGCAAACATGTGGCGACTGATTGTGGGTTTGGTGATACCGCTATAGCATTCGGGGGGACAACATCCCGTCCATTGAACCATGGCATGGAACCCACTCGATCGACGGCCTCTTTATAGACAGGCGATATCGACCGCTTGGTAGATCATCTCTCCTCCCCCTTAGCGGGAACGACCACTTCCAAAGCGAGCTTGTCATAACCCACTACGAGCGTATCTCTTCCCCTTCTGATATCATCAACATCAAACCTCACCGTCTTTGGCAAACGTATATCCCGATCATCGCGGATAATGGACAAGCCACTCTTTCAAGATCTCGTCCGAGCCGGCTTATGTTGGCATGCTTCGCAGGCATAGCTTGCCACACGATTGGCTATTTGGCTAATCTGGGAAGCAGACAGCGGACTGGCGGCATTTCCCATTGTTGGTCATATGACTAGGTTTGTTCATCAGACGTGCTCCCACAGGCGGACCACAGCTGCTCAATTCTATGCAGCAGCAAACCCAGGAGAACGATCAGGCACATCCCCGTCTGGTGTCTAGCCTCGACGTCTATGCCCAGCTGGATCAACCTCCCCAGGCTGTACTGACGATCTCCTGCAACTGGACTGGATCAGAACGTCCGGCGTATGACGGCGACGACGTCAGTGTGGAGGAGGCATGCTATAACAGAATGATACTCGACGTCAATCACCCCGGGGATACGAGTCTATCTATACTGCATGGAGTGCGAGGTCCACGCTGTAACAGAATTAGGAAGCGGATGTAGTCATGTGCTGCGCGTCGATGAGGTCATCGTGGCGTTTATGTGTGTTTGAGGTTTCGGTACTGCGCAAGGGCGTATACAGCTTGTTGCAGTTCATTATAGTCCTCATCCCCCTCCTCGTAGATGTTGTCGATGTTGTCGCTGTAGCCCCGGTCGTCGTAACATTATGTACCAGGGCTTGGCGACGTCGATAGCCCAGATCAAAACCCGATCCTATTCAAACGGAAGCTACGACTTGGACAGAAGCCCCATTTGCCGGAGTTGCTGCCGGCACCGCGCCGTCCAGGGCAACGCACTATCGTTCGATTTGAGCTTTCTGTTGTATATTCTTTCGTGTAGTTTTCTTTTCTACAACCTTTTAGCGTCAGGGTGGGTGGTCGTTGGGTGCGCCACGACGACGACGACCACCACCACGGTGATGGTGTGTGGCTCTTTTGGTTGTGGGGTAGGGAGAATCAAGTGTGCTGTACCGTGTTCTGAAGCCCCAATCGTAATCGTATGACAACGAAACATCTTAAAGTAAAACTACGTAAGACAAGAACATGAGCGCGTCACAAGCGGTGTAAAATATCTACAGTGTTGCGCTCGTGCTGTGGGTGTGGATGTGTGTCGTGAGCGGGCGCATCCGCGACTGATGCTCTGTTTGCGACGCTTGGCCGCTCGGCACTTGCCTCTATTCTTCATACCACCACTAGTACTAACTAGGTGCTAACGTGCTTTACTTTCACCAACTTGTACTATCAAACAGTACTTGTTATCTCGCTGTCTGGCGATGTCCGCCCTCTGTCCGATCCCCATTCTTCGCTGATCATTGACCGAGGCACTGCTGACCGTCAATTGGGCTACGTCAGTTCCGAGGCTTTACATATCTTTTTATCTCTTCGCTGTTGGCTCAGTCTTTGGTCTTGTTCTTGGGTCAAAGGGGCCTTGCAAAGGGGAGGGTCATGTCGCTTGATCAGCCTACGGGCTCATACGAGCAAGTGCAAGGACACGCGAACCATCAGGAGGAGGTCAACATCCAACCATCGAGGCCAGTCTTGGATCGTCTCTCGTCTGCCTCATCCAATTCTCATTTCACGACATCAAACTCCAATTCATCCCATTCGCACTCCAACCGCCATTCACACGAAGGCTGGATAACAAGCCCAAGCACTACACCGTCCTTACCTCCCTCGACGCCGCCTTTACCCAAAGGCGCGGGGATCAGTCGTTCTCGCACTTCTGTCTACCTGCGACCCCCATCTCAACAACAACAACGAGAAGAGGAATTCGATCCTCTCACTCTCCTCCTCCCCCCAACTCCAACCCCCGTCTCCCACGTCCGTCGATCAAAACTCCAAAAATCACCTCCATCAGCTTGGTCCCTCGCCAACGCCCCTCCCTCGAACACGAACAGTCTCCTCTCCCTCTCTCTCTCCTCCGTCCCCCCCAGCCCCTCCCGACCCCCCACAATCTCCCAGGATCGGCCATTGACGAGGAGCGCAAGTCTCGGACGATCGATGGTCAAGCTCGTACGTACCCTGAGCTGGAAGAACGTGCCCCGTTCTCCGTCTGCTTCCCTCCCTAACGAAGAACCCCCCGTTCCCGCCCTCCCCTTACACCTCTCCCACACCCGGGGTCGCAGCTCGATCGACTCGACACGCACTGCCTCTCAAACAGGACACACGAGCTGGGGCTGGGCCAGCAGGCTCAGCACGCAGCGTGCCGCTCCTCCGAAACCGAACGGTGATCCTCCGGGGATAGAGGTGAGCTATGGCAGGCTCGTAGGAGACCCGGAGGTCGTCCTCCCCCTCCCTGCACCGGGGCAGGCGGGGCCTTCTACCCTCAGGCAGGAGGAAGAAGAGGACGTGTTGTATATGCGCCCGAGGGGTGTTTCCCCTCCTCCCGCTTACACACCCACGCGACAACCTCCCCCCTCCCAGCCGCCTCCCGAACCCGAAGTATCGAGGAACCTCGTCCGGAGAATATCGAGATCCAACCTCTTCCCCGCTGCGCAGTTACCGCCCGTAACTGCTCCAGGTGGGGTGGCGGCCTTGACAGGCAGGCAACTGAGGGCGAGGAGGAGCGTGAGGGAGCTGGTGATGCGCGAGCCGGCGGGGGTGGAGAGTCCCCCCAGGAGCTTGCGGAGGGAGGGGAGGGAGGATGCACTGAGCACCAGTGGGAGAAGTGGGAGGAGCGCGAGGAGCGGAGGGAGGGAGGATGCACTGAATGGGAAAAGTGTGGGGAGCGGGAGTACGGGGAGGAGGCGCAAGACGCTGGATAGCGGGGAGGTGCTTGCCCTTAACCCGGGGAAGGGGAAACAGGGCGAAGACGAGAACAGACATGCGAGGAGTAAGAGCGCGAGTTTGGGGCGTGCTGTTGGTGGAGCATGGGTTGCTGCGGAGGTTGGAGGAGGGGAGGGGAGGAGGAGGTCGAGGAGTTTGGCAAACCATCCCGGGATGGAGGTGATCCCGATGCCTCTTCCCACGCCTTTGCCGATACTCCTTCCCCCTGGGGCTGCGCCTGGTCCGGGACCGGGGAGCAGGTATACGGCGCTTTTGCACGAAGTGGGTCGGGGGAGGCCGACGTCCTTCAAAGGTGCTGGGAAGGACCTGCCGCCTTTGAGAACCGGAAATAAGGAGCTAGCACACGCGAGAGTCGGGAAGGTGGTACAGCCAAGAAGCAGGAATGGGGAGGTGCTGGCACCCGGGAAACGGAGCTTCGAGGGTGAAAACGGCTGGGCTGGGGTGCTGTTGAAGGAGAGGCAGAGGAGGGACAGCAAATTCCGGGATCTGCCTCCCCTTCCGGTGCCGAACGACGAGCCCCTCAGCGAACTACGTCGTTCTATTCCTCAGCTCCGACAGGAAAAGAGCACGGAGACACTTCGAAAACGCCAGCATGGGCGCAAGGTCTCCGCTCCGCCTCTGGAGAGAGTCCCGGGTTTGAGAGTGGATACCGCTGTTGGGCGGGAGCGGGAGAGGCACAGAGCTGCCACGGTTGGCGATCTGCCGCTTCTTGTTGCTGCGGAGGTGCAGGAGCTGGAGGCAGTTAGGGCTGGAGGGAGGAAAAGGAGCGCAGACAGCTTAAGTGCTAGGACTGTCCGAGCCGGCCCAAAATCCGCGCCTCTCCCCCCGCTGCCCTCAGAAACTGGCGCAGAACGCAAACCCCTCGCCACAGACCTCCCGCCCACGGCCTCGCCACGCAAAACGCGGGTCACGATCCCTGGCTTCCCCTCCTCCCCCCAGTCTACTGCTCCGATGCAGGAAGTTACCCCTCCTGTGGGAGGTCATCTCAAGCGGGCGTCGCTGAGTTCTAAGAGCTTGCCCGACGCGCTGAGGAGAGCGTTTTCGTTCAAGAGTTCTGGGTCGCCTTCGAGGGATGTCTCCGAGGCGCCTTTGCCCCCCGTACCGCCTCTGCCTGCTGGGACAAGATCTGCGAAGGAGGCGGAGAAGGAGGGTATCGGTGCCCTACCTGCTAAGGCTCTGCGCAGGAGGAGCAGCAGCATCCACCTCAAACGGAAAAGCGTGGATACGATCACTGCTGCTTCTTCTGCTTTACCAAAATCTGCCGCGCCTGGTAGCCCAGCGAGCGAGCCGCGGCTGCGGCGGGCATCGACCATGCTCCCGTCGCCCAAGAAAACGCGTGATGTCTCCCCGCCCCCGCCTGTGCCTGACCTCCCACCTGCTCTAACGTCACCCATCAAGAACGTAAAGAAACTCTTCCGCCGTCCACGGACAAACTGGAACCCCAAATCTCCTGCTTTTGCCTCTACCACCTCGTCCCCCTTCTCCCCTCCTGTCCCGGCCCTCCCTATCACGCACACCCGTCCGCGTTTGCCCACAGCGTCTCATACTATCCCTCCCCCCGTACCCTCCCTCCCCTTACCGAGTCATATGTTGCCCTCTCGCGTACTGAAAGATGGCCCGCCTACTTCGCCCGTCGTTGGGGGACGGGTTGACCTTCACGCGCTAGCATTCACAGGCTTCGCCGCCCGTCCATCGGCAGACCAGGGTTACTCCTACGAATTCTCCAGTCCTTCATCTCAGTCTTCTGCCTCTCCCCCGCCCTCGCCCTCTCTCGACGAACACGGCGATGACACCCCGCGGATGCGGCCTAGGATGATGCGCGGCACGTCTGACCTGCGCCGATGGACGCTCGCCGAATTCCCCGATGACGTTAGCTTCCTCCGAGCCTTGGGCCAGAAAGCCAAGAGCGACATCAGCCATCTGTCTGAAGATGCAATCACTGAAGGGGACGGTACAATGGAAGGGTCTGTAGAGGAGTCGGAGGATTGGTGGAAGTATAAGGAGCCTGGGGAGGGCGATGCCGGCCGTGCGCTCCTCTGCGTGAGGGAGATCGTTCGCACGGAAGAAAGCTACCGCCGCAGACTTGAAGCGATGTGGGCAAGCACTCAGCCGCTTCCCGAGGCCTTCTTGGCCCACCTGCCCTCGCTCATCCTTGCATCGTCTCGCTTCTCCCGGCGCCTGGCGGATGACCCTTCTGCCTGGGGCGCTGCGACTGCCCTTGTTGGATGCGAGGACGAGATGGAGCGCGCGTTTGTCTCGTGGTCCGCAGTGGTGGGCGACGTTATCTGGGGTGTTGGTCGTGGCAAGAAAATCAAGAAAGGTGCTTGGTCCGAGGAGGTGCGCGAGGTTGCTGTTATGCCGACACAGCGCGTACCTCGGTATGTGCTGATGTATCGGGAATTGCTGCTCTTCACCCCGCCTTCCTCTCCCTCCCGTCCACTCGTTGAACGCGCCCTAGAAGGAGCCCTTCGGATAGCTGCCGGCTGCGATGCTGCACAGCGTCATCAGGATTCTGCTATGCCACCATCAGCCACTTCGTCCGCTCAAGGTCACGGCACTCCGAACCCAGGGCTAGTCAACTCGCCGCCCCTTTCATCCACCAACCATAGTACCCAGCCCTACACGCAATCGAGTCCAGTATCTCCTGTGCTAGGCACCGGTATTTTTGCAACCCTTCCAATCTCCCCACCAATGTCTTCCAAGAAGAAATCTCGGCCCAAGTCGATGGGCCCTGCTCCACGACCTTTCACTCTCCTTACCGCTTGATCCAGGTTATTGGTTCTCTGAGCCATTTGCTCGCTCGACTTCTTGTGCTTCGTGAGGATTCGGTCTGGTCTGTACCAAAACTATGTCATTGATATCCACTCAACTGCATCATTGTCCTATCGGCCGCGCACCAACTTCGAGTGTTTGCACCATACCATTACGATATACTTGGATCTTGTCTCTTCTCTGCATCCATGCATCATCTCGATCTCAACACAAGTCACGGACCCCCATTTGCCTTGCACCACTCTCGCTTTCCTTCGTGCATTATTGCTTGCTTATCTTCCTGTCCTTCGTTGCACGTGTATCTTTAGCCAGTTTAACATTCTTGTATTATGATAGGTTTGACCGCTTGCTCGATGGTCCCTTTTGTCACCATCGGGGAAGATGGGGGTATGCAATAATATTACTGGATGGCTTCCGGTCAGGGTTTGTCATTCCAATTACGATTGTCTGTGGGCCCAACTGCCGGGCGGAGCCGGACACCCAGAATGGATATCATTATCAGCGGTTGCTAAGGATATGGGTTTTGCCGCCCCGTTGCCAAGCCCTGTCGATATTCCCTCGACTGGTTATATTTGGCGAGCCCACCGGGTAAGTCTTCCAGGTAAGCCCATATCGCAGAGTATCCACTGAGCTTGGCGTTGCGATTGTATTGTATACTTTCGGTGCTACAGGCAAGCCGATAGAAGATTGCTAAACGTTCGGGGAGCCTTCACTAAGGCAAAATAACTTCCACGCGCCAACTAAACTGATTATCAATCCACATCCATCTCTTTCGTCGCAGCCTCCCCCAAGCTGGAATAATACATATTTAAGGACCGGCTATTCTCCCTACGGCGAAATGTGTCAAACACCTCATGATTTCTAATTCGCACAGTGTACTCAGGATTGGTCCGTTCGGTTGACTTCTGGCGTGACGCTCGGAACCTCGGGACAGAAATGGACCGATCGTTCCGAATCTCCACTCGAATTCACTTCTGTGTGGGCAATCAATCACCATATCTTGCTCTCTATACTGGTGGTGGCTATCATTCATTCAAAAAAGGAACTTGGACCGGTAATTCTCCGCGCAGGGTCGCAGCTTGGGCGCTTGGGCGGCACAACACAGATGATGCCTCGAACTTGACAAAAAGAAATTAAGCTTGATGAAGGTATGCTTCTTTCCTAGGAACACAGTAGTACTACATTCCGTATGCGTAGGAGATCTTCTGCACGATCGAACTTCTTCGTGGCTCTGGCCTAATCCGCTTGTGCCTGGTGCATGTGAGACGCCGGACCACGTCCCGGTGAAGCTTCGTTTTCCTTTGTTGGTGTTGGTATATTCATGTTGCGAACAAAGATAAAGAATCAGGGACATTTACGTTCAAGGCTCGGAAAAACTCACTCCACCCATTCTTTGAACACCCGCAGAGGTGCTCCATCCCTCTGTTTAGCGCAGACTTTGGATCGTTCATCTCTGCCATGACATTGAGGCCGGTCCACCGTTTTTCCGAGTTGCAGGCAGAGAAACGCAGAGTGAAACTCGCCCGATAGCCAAATGTGGTTACAAAGGCGAGGAATGTCAGTAAAGTGGATACCGCCCTTGTTCCGCTCTCATGAACAGTACCAACCACTTTCGCAGGTCAATAAAGTGCCTCCACTTGCGGACCGATCGCTTGACGGCAAAAGGGACACGTGAGTTGATGTAGGGTAAGAGCTTCCCCGGCAATTTTCCCCACGGGGGGAGAAGACACTGATTCGAAGTTCCAGAACAGCAAGCGCCATGTGAGGTGCATGCAGCAGAGAAGCAAGCGAATCTATTCTGAGGGTCTTGGCGCCGTCATGGAGCTTAAAACTGGTCAACGGAACCTTTCAGAAGATTGACGGAGCCGAAACAGCTTCTAATTTTGCATAACTTCCCCATTCGTCCATCCCGCGTGAGACATTCATCTTTTAAACTCGTCTGAACACTTCACTACAACATCAATGTGGGACACATTGCGGGGAAGTGTGGAGAGATATGGTCTTTCTTTTCGTGCCGGTCATCCCGTGTCACCTGGCTGTCAGGCACGACAGAAGGCAACCGGACCTTGCAGAATGGGGATGTCTTTGATGCCAAGCCTTCTGTGTTGGCGTGCTTCTCCAGCTATTAAAGCCCAATAATCTCTATGGCAAGCACACCTGGTCAGAGTCTAGCCGGCGTTCAGCTCTACTCCCTGCTTGCCTCTACGACCCTCCTGAGGAGAATAACTTCAAGATGCCGACCACCAAAAGTGATATTATGCTATGGTTCCTTTCGTCCATCGCCATTATTAACAGCTGTGTCAATGGCTACGATGGGTCAATGATGAACGGCATGCAGTCCTTGAGCCAATGGCAGGACTCATTCAACCACCCGGTTGGCTCGGAGCTTGGTCTACTCAACGCCATTTTCAACCTGGGTGGAACCTGCGCCTTTTTCTTTGGTATTTGCCGCTGCAGACTCATGTTAGAGTACCTTCTTGACCCAGACCACAGCCCCGTACGTGACCGACTTGGTTGGACGACGAATAGGCATTGCAGTTGGATCCATCATCATCCTTATTGGTGTCATTCTACAGGCCGCTTCCCACAATGTTGGCATGTTCACGGGAGCCCGTTTCATCATCGGTTTTGGTCTCGGTATCTCCAGTAACTCTGCCCCTATTCTGGTGGCCGAGCTAGCGCATCCGTCATATCGCGGGAAGATTACTGGTCTTTACAACACACAATGGGCGCTTGGTGCAATCATCGCTGCTGGTGTCACGTACGGCACTTTCTCAATCAACAGCGAGGCCGCCTGGCGTATCCCGTCTGCCCTGCAGGGACTTTTCTCCCTGATTCTCTTGTGCTTCCTGCCGTTCATGCCCGAGTCTCCGCGTTGGTTGGTTGACAAGGGGAAGGCAGAGAAGGCAAGGGAAATTCTCGGTCGTTTGCATGGAAATGGAGACCCCAACCACCCCCTAGTCAACTTGGAGATGCAGGAAATCGAGGAAGCCATCGCTTTCGAGAGGGAAAACCAAAGGGTCAGCTGGCTTGAGCTTGTCGCCACCCGTGAGCGCAGTCTCTTACCCATGTTTGCATTGTCTCATGATATATCTCAGCCGGCAATCGCTATCGCATGTTCCTCGGCATTTGCGTCGGCCTTTTCTCACAGTGGTCCGGCAACGGCCTCGTCAGCTACTATCTGGCAAAGATTCTCACCAACATCGGGATCACCGATCCCAAGCAGCAACTTCAGCTCAACCTTGGCAAGGAATGCCTGTCCTGGGTCGTCGCGAACTCAGGTGCATTGGTCACAGATCGCGTCAACCGACGCACTCAGTTTATCCTTTCGACTGGTGGTATGATGTTTACCTTTGCTGGTCTCACTGGCTTCACTGGTGCCTACAACACTGTTGCAGTCGGCAACCACGGTGTAGGTGTCGGTGCTGTCGTATTCATCTTCCTTTACGGTATCTGCTATTCCCTCGGCTGGACTCCTCTTACCGTGCTCTACCCGACCGAAATCATGCCATACAACATCCGCGCGAAAGGTCTCGCCGTCTCATCCCTCGCCGTCAATTTGGCCCTGTTCTTCAACTCCTACGTCAACCCAGTCGGCATGGCTGCGATTGGCTGGAAGTTCTATCTCGTATACTGCGCCTGGATCCCCATTGAGCTGCTCACGGTCATCTTCTTCTTCAAGGAGACCAAGGGTCGCACGCTGGAGGAGCTGGCTGTCGTCTTCGATGGTGAGAAGGCCGCTGTCGAGGGCAATCGCCGGCACATCGATCCCAGTCATGATCTCGTTGTACCCGGCACCCCTCCTTCCGACCTCGACAAGGAGGAGAAGGCACATTTCGAGAACGTTTGAGTTATGATTGCTTACGATACCACATGGGGTTAACGCGAGTTATCTGTATTTTTCCACGAGCCGTGATAGCAATAATGGATGTTTATCGCCTCTCATTGGGACTGTTCTATTCATGATATAAAATATTCAGTGGGATGGAGTCGTGGACAGACAAGCAGTTCTTCCTGACAGAGAGGTACCACCTACTCTGCGGTATATTGAAAGAACCATTCGCCCATTACCTCATCCCTCTTTCCTTGAGTCGGTACAGATCCTTCTATGAAACCAGAGAAACTGAATCCAAGCTTCTCAAATACTCGTCGGCTACCAACATTGCCCTCCATCACTGCGGCGTGGACCAAGCGAATGCGCATGTACGGAACACCCCACGAGCGAATGAGCTCTCGGACAGCCGCTGTCATGATTCCCTTCCCATGGTGTGAAGCAGCAAGGTAGTCTGGTCATGTCTGGTCAGAAATATTATAATCGCGGGAGGACGATTAGGCATACCTCCGACCATGTAGACAATAGTGGGATCTCCGGCCGTCTTCCCTCGGTTCTTTTTGATCAGTTGTTCCTTCGTCGCCGAGTCCGTCTCTCCCCCAAATGACGACCTCACTAAATCGACAACTCCCAGGAAAATCTGGCTTCCATCCGGTTGGACTTCTCGGATAACACACATGGGTGTGTAATCGAAAAACTTGCCCTGACGCAAGGGGGCGGCCTCGTCCCCCGTGAAATATCCTCGGTCAGGCTCGAATAGCTTGGATTGGCCTTCGAACCACAGCTGGGCATGCTCTCGCGTGTATGGGTAAGCCGGCCCAACTAGGCGAGGATAGACATCAGGGTGGTTCAAGATGGGGAGGACTGCGTCCACATCTTCGACGCGCCACGGTGTGAGACGGATATTGTCGTGGTGGGAGGGGAGGGGAATGTACGGCTCATCAGCTCTTGATCTGTCGAAGAGGACTGGCTGGCGATGATCTAATGGGATCATAGAGAAGAATCGTTCCGCTGCGTGAATGAATTGAGAATTTGTACTGAGGTATGCGCCGCGCACCTGGCCAGGATATTAGTTGAAGGATGTTTGGAGAGCTGGGTGTTTCGTTGGCACGATCAGGGGAAATATACAGAAACTACTTCGGGCAACCTCGTCTGACTCGTTCTATATAGTTGGGTACGACAGTGAAGCTGTCTCCCGAGAGCAATGGGCACAGCAACCTCATTATCTCGGGGCAATACTCAGCCGCTCCCACTTTGAGACACGTGATCGCTATCAGAGCTGTTTGAGTCAGGATTAACATCATCCTTTACATTTGCGCCTGTAGCACCATAGTTATGGACTGGGAAGTGAGAGCAGCGTGTACAAGCCGTCATGCGTCCATTAGCATTGGCATCCGGGGACACGGAAAACTCGAAGCGATGGACCTCTTATGGAGGACCCTTCCTGAGATTACATTGGAGGAATAAGAGAGGTAAGGTGGGATGGGGGCATTGTCTGATTTCCCAAGTTTTCACCTTCCTCACAGAGCCATGCCCGCACTGAGAGGCACCGCGCATCAAATCTGCAGTGGCGTTCCATTCAGCACAGTTTCCAGCAGTGCAGAATATCAACTCGTTGATTTCAGTGAGATCCATCGCGAGTACGTCCCTACAGTGACTCTTCGATCAGCAGCACTTGACGAGTACTTGACTCAAGGTCGCAAGGTCGCGTAACCAGACGACTGGGAGAAGCAATACAGGATGATAATAGGTTGCGTGAAGTTGGAGATGCGAGAGTGTGTGTGAGGAGCTAGAGAAAGCAGAACAAAAGGCGGCATTTGTAGTCGGAAAGTTGTCGTCGTCGCGCTCGAGGAAGAACAAGTTGTAATGGACTTTGACATTTGATAAACACTCGGAGTGCCCAGAGTTTCAAAGGTGGGTGGGATAGAATCTCGACAAGGCAGAGCGCCAGGTCGGTGGGTTGATGTTCCGAAGCTTGTCACGCTCCAGGGCAAGGGTCATATCCGAATAGAGGCGATCGATGTTCACATCACAGCAATGTGAATTGATTGAGAGGTCGGGGAGACGGAGAGAGTCACCATGAAACAGAGTATACGAATTGACCGTCCAGTCATCGATTGCCTCGCCCTCCTGAACACCGTATAACATGTCGAATGACTCGAAAGCAACACCAGCCAAGAGCTGATCACTGGGTGGATGATATGCTACTAGTTGCGGGATTGCCGGAACGTCGTAACATCTGAGCAGAATTTCAAGACCGCCGTCGGGGAAAGCATTAAAGCGATCTTCAAGGTCATCAACATCCATCCGATATCCCTCTGGAAGCTTGCTAAGGTCCAACTTGACAGAGTCGCTGTGCCGATCGCGTACTGAGGGGGAAGGCGACTGCCGCATCCACATAATCCAGTCCTGTAAATGGTTGATTGTCAACTCCTTTGCTTATGGGAAATGGTGTAGAAGGATGCTTACCATATGGGCTATAGCATCGCTCCGCTCGATTTCTTGTTTGCTTCCGTCCATGCCGGTTAAGTCAACGGAGGAGGATGCTGTCGAAGAGAGCTGCCGGATAGTGGCAGAGGTGGGCGCTGGGGAGTCCAGTTGCGGATAGACAAGGTAGGCATAACTGGAGTAGCTTGATGCCATCAGGATCGATCCATCCGCGTCCCAGGCGGTCAGGAAGTCAGCCTGCAGCAACATGTCACCGGGTTGAGATTTAAACATATGGCGGACAGGACTAGGCATGTCCTTCATTATAGGGGTCTTCGGAATAGTGGCTCGCACAATCGTCGAGGTCGCCAGAGCGGGATCGGAAAGAGCAGCAGCGATGTCATTTTGGAGCCAAACTGCAGATCCTGCTGTGTCGTCAAGGGTAATTGCACCGATATAAAATCGAGTCCCGTCAATTGGATGGTTCCAAATCGGTTCCAACCGCCATATCTGATTTTCCGGGGTGTGACAGAGACGCAAAACAGACATCGAATGAGCGTCGCGGCGTAAGATCGTGGCTTCTGTTTTCTCCTTGGAAATCGAATCCAAGATGACCTCCTCCACGGGTCGCACAAATGAGACCCACACGGCATGATTTAGGCCCTCTGAGTCGATGTGTGCGAGCGACAATGTTGCCGATGGTTCGGCGAAAGCTGGAACAGAAGTTGGAGCCCACGCACGAGCCATGTTGCTTAACGACGCCAACTCGAATATATAGATGGAGGAACGGCTTGTGACCAGAACGTGATTCGAGATGAATGCTGCTTCAAATTCCATTCCTGGAAGAACGCGAATATGAGAACGGTAAGACGTCATTAATAAAGGGAAGTACGTACAAGAACAGGAAGGACCAGGTTCACATAGGAATCCGTCTCCCAATCTCGAATATGAACATCAGGTTCCCCTTCATATAACCGATGCACAGACCAGCGACCATTGAAAGCCAGTGTGTGCGACGAGTGAACCTTTTCACCAATCAGTGTGGGTGTTGAACCCTTTATATCGATGCGGAAAGTGCGAGCCGGGGATTGGGTAGGTGCTAGTTTGCAGGTAAGAGAGAGATATCCATGAATGTCTTCATATGTGACCACAACTTGCCACTCCGAGCCTTTTGGAGTGACAACGGCTCCTGAGCAAATGGCGTAACCGGTGGGTAATGAGAGCTGCTCTCGCAGATTCAAGATCGTTGAGTTACTGACATCCGTCTCATCGCTTAAATGGATAATCTCAAGCGACCCATCCGAGAATCCTCGCCAGAAGGTCGACTCATTCCGATGCAGCCAGGTCATCGACTGACTTCCGAACGGGTAAGAGTGTTCACCACAGCGGGTCCGCCCACCACCATCGACGGTTGGTATTGTGACCCCACGCGTTGACATGGGGTGGAGCTGCACCACGCTCGATGATACCTCTTCATCTTGACTGTCTCCCGCAGAGAGCTCAGAAGGCGAGCTGAGAGCCACTGGGGTCGGGGGTCAAGCCAATTCATTCTGCACGGCCTTAGAACGCCTTTCTCCCATCCTTGCCTCGTCCAGAATCAGAAGCAAAGTCCACAGATGAGCCGTCGACGATCTTGATCGCTTGGTGGAAGTCGTCGCCTTGGGATAAGGTGGTGACGACAGAGAATACGGTTACGTGATTGCACGGAGTGAAGGTTGGGTTGAGAGAACCGGGAGAGCCGGAGGCAAACCGCGCAAGACAGGAGGCGAGACAACGATGGCAAGCTTGTGTATTGGATGTTCTTCTTTGGGACGTGTTGCTGCTATCAGATCTGTTCAAGTTATAATCAACATCATCCCTAACGTTTGTGCATGTAGGGTCATAGATACGAAGTGAGGAGCGAGAGCAGTCGCACAAGCCGTCATGTGTCCTTCACCTTGGCATTCGGAGATATGCCTGCTGAGTATATCGTTCTCATTCGACAGTATACCGCATCAGCCACTGTCCAAGAACCACTTCTCGCCTGCCCTGGGTGGGTGTCACACCATCTACCTTCTCAACGAGCTTGAACCCAAGCTTGTCGAGAACTTTTCTGCTGGCCCAGTTGTCCTCGATAATACCGACAGTTATTTCATGTACATCTATATGTGGGATTGCCCAGGAGTGAATCATCTTGTGAAGGGCCGCAGTCATAATGCCCTTCCCGTGGACGGCAGGATCGAGGTAGTCTGGGCGTCGGATCAGATACTTCCCCAAAACTATGTGGATATGGAAGACGCACAAGCTACTGAATAGATAATGCTCGGATCTCCTGCCGCTTTAGCTTCGTTCTGCGTCTTCAACTCCAGTTTTCTATGCTCAACCGCCTCATACAGAAACATTGATCTCCACATGCCCAATATTCCTAGGAATTGCTGCGATCCATCTGAACACTGCTGTCGAATTGCAAGCATAGGATTGTAATCGAAAATCTTCCCCGTACTAATTGGTTGCCTCTCGTCACCAGTAAAGAACTGCCGATCGAGCTCGTACTTCTGCACTTGGTCGTTGACCAAAACTTCGGCATGTTCCTTCGTATAAGGATACGGCGTTAGCAGATGCGTGTACACAGCCGGATCGTTCAAGATCGGTACGATTGCTTCGACATCTACGTTCCGTACGGGCGTCAAACAGAACTCTTCGTCATTCGATTGGAAGCGAAGGTATGGTTCTCCTCTTCGGTGATCGAAGCAGACACCCGATGAAGGTAGTCCACTTACCATACGAGTTGCTGATGTGTTGGGATCATGCTATCTTGACAAGCTCATGGACATCCGGTGTCCATGTGCTCCGCTGGTATCGGGTCAGTTGTTTATGACTCGGAACACGACGTTCTGAGAACATACACAATACATTTCACTAGTAGTTAAGCGCCCAGCATAGAAGAGGAATATGGCCGCGGAGCAAGATCCGCAAAAAGATTAGTGCGGTGCTGTGCAACAAGTTCACACCAATAGTGTTGTCAGGGCTTTGTCGTCTCGACTTTCCTAAGGCTCGTATATGTACAACACTCTTTCCCGGTCTTTTGGCGCAAGGACATTCCCTAGACGATTCCAGAGCCTTAGATCCATACCTTCTTTCTCTGCTCAGCATTCCTGGCAACGACGCGGTTTCATGTCTTCAGATATCAGTGCTTCTGCGAACGGTAACACCACCCAGACCAAGTCTGAGCCATATGGCAACTTCGATTTCGTCACACGTGTAAAGCCAGACTACGCAAATGTTGTGATTGAGAAATGGAGAAGTCGTGTGTCAGGACTTTCGGTAGTGCATGTCGATTACGAGGGTGCGCATTGTCTCGAGCATGCCAGTACCCGTGTAGACTAACAATTTTGCAGCACCGATCGTGAAGGGCTTCTTTGCTGTGGGGACTGAGAGTGCGCATTATTTGTATCGGTTGAGTTGCGTATCTTAATATTCATATAGTATTCGACGACTCCGGATGCCCACATACCCTCGAACAGTATGTTATCGGTGTTCTGCCACTTTTCTATTGTCTGACACCTCATCCCAGTCTCATATTCTTAGGTTCTGAGAAGCATCCATACAAAGGTGTTCTTGACAACCTTGCCAACCGCGCCTTTGCTCAGGGAACCAACGCTTGGACGGACCAAGATCAAACGGTGTACACAATCGATACTGCCGGACACGATGGATTCCTCCGACTGTTGCCGGTGTACCTTGACCATCTCCTGTGGCCGACTTTGACAGCGAGTGGATACGTGACGGAGGTACATCACATCAATGGAGAGGGCGAGGATGCAGGTGTCGTCTATAGCGAGATGCAAGGGCGAGAGAACACCCCTAACGATCTGCTTGCCCTAAGGTCCGCATGCGTATGCTGTCTTGCTTCGATAGAAGTATTGACGATAATTATGCAGACTCCAGCGTGCCTTCTATCCCGAGGGAAATGCGTATCGAAGCGAGACGGGCGGTTTAATGGAGGCGCTACGGAACCTCGATATCCACCAGAGTACGCAGACTGTCTCGGTTTTGGTGCCTGCTGCTCACATAAATCTCAGTCCGAAAATATCACAGCACTTATTATGCTCCCCACAATCTTTGTGTGATCATGATGGGCAGACTAAGCACGAAGGACCTGCTCAATGTTCTGCAATCGCAAGTAGAGCCTCGTATTATCGCTCATGGTCAAGCACATGGCCCACGCCCTCCGGGGTGGAAGCGGCCGTTCATGGAAACGAAGACGGCAGAGCCTTTCAGTTTGGGCAAAGGAAAACTTGAGACTGTAGAATTTCCCGAGCAGGATGAGAGCGTGGGCGAGGCTTGCGTCTCGTGGATTGGACCCAAGGCGGATGATTTTGTCAATCAGCAGGTGCGTCTTCTTTCTCTTGATGTTGCTTTCGCGGTCCAATGTGATTGGGTCCAGGCCCTCGATATTCTAGGAACATACTTGACTGACTCCCCCGTGGCGCCCCTGACCAAAGCATTTGTGGAGACGGCTTCACCTCTTTGGTGAGTCGCAACTCCGTCTCAACGAGATGAAGCTTATTCCTCGATGACTAGCACGGGTGTCTATATTTCAGACTCAATGCGAGCAACGATTACAACTCTAGATATGTACATGACTGCGGTCCCTACGGAGCTCTTGTCAACGATTCAAGGGCGCGTGAATGAGGAGCTGCAGAAGATTGTAGCGGCCGGTATCGATATGGAGCGAATGGGAATGATTCTCCGACGGGAGAGGCGCCGAGTATGAGATTTATCTCTTGCATAGAATCGTGCTCACAAGAGTTTAGCTGGCAGACTCGCTGGAAACATCGACTTCCGATGTCTTTCTTTCTTCTGTCATTGACGGTATGATGTGCCACTCTTCCTCCCCTCGTACTGTTAATGACAAGCTTGCAGATTTCTTGTACGGCGATCCTGACGGGAAGTCGCTGAGTGATTCTCTCGACAACACCAGGCGGTACAATATGTATGAACAGTGGACCAATGAGGATTGGTGTACTCTGATCCAGAGGTGAGAGGAACCGTAATCGAACGAGGCTTGAAGCTGACCAATACCTCTAGGTATCTCCTTGATGCACCGAGTATTGTCATACTAAGCAAGCCATCTGGGGATCTTGCTAAGAAGATCGAGGAAACAGACCTTGAACGCATCGCAAGTCAACGGGAAAAACTTGGCCCAGAGGGGCTAGCACAGCGTGAGAAAGAGCTTGCAGCCTCCATAGAGGCCAACGACAAGGCAATACCATCGGAGATGCTATCCTGCTTCCCCTTACCTGATCTCTCTTCGGTCTCGTGGATTCCGGTGCAGACAGCGCAGAACGATCCGACGAAGGGCGGCCTGTATGCTCCAAAGCCGTCCGACACCGAACGTTTGTTACAGTCGGATGCTACTACGTTGCCTTATTTTGTGGAATTCGACCACGTCAAGGTAGGCCGGCACGAGGGTTTACTTCGAATTCTTGCCTTTGACGAGTTTGACAGTCAAATTTCGTCACAGTGTGCGCGTATTTGTCGACAGCTGATCTCCCGAATGAACTCAGGAAGTAAGTTCCATCATATGCATATCTCCTCAGTCAGCTGACCGGCCTCAGCTATGTCCCTCTGCACCTGAGTTCGTTCTTCTCCCTCCCGATCATTCGGGATGGTGTGGAGGTCCCATACGATAAAGTTGTCAACCACTTGGACGATCTCTCGGCCGCGTACACTATCGAGAGCCTTACGCAATTCTCGCAGTTCGTGCGCATAACACTTAAGGTCCAGCCAGTTCAATACGATGTGGCCATTGGTTGGCTACGCGATCTCATGTACAACGCGCGTTTCGACGTCGAAAGGTATGTCAAGCGTATCATTGGCACATTCTATCGCTCATCTTTTTAACAGACTTCGCATCAATGCTATCAAGATGTTGCAAGGTCTTCCCGCTCTGAAACGTGATGGATCGGTGGTACTTGACTCTGTGCACTACTCCACTTTGTTCAACGAAACATCTACCGCGGTTGCATCTGGTCTTCTGACTCAGATGACGTTTATTCCCGAATTGGTGGCTCGGCTCGAAGAAGAACCCGAAGAAGTTGTCAAAGATATGGAGGCCTTACGTACCGCTGGTAGGCTCCACTTTTTAGCACAAAGGGATGCTATTCATGATCGAGCAGTCACGCAGCCCTCTGTCGTGCGGTTTGCGGTTTACGGTGATGTTTTATCCTTGAAGGAACCACGCTCTGCATGGGCTAAGAACTTCCGGTCACTACCTGTGAGAGCTCAATTGCACGACCGAGTCCCATGTACTGAGTCGTAATAGCTGACTAAGTTGACACCCATATCGTGGATTCGGGAGTCATTATCTGATCTTGGGAGAAATCCTGCGAAGAAGGGCGTCGTTGTGACGATACCGAGTATCGAAAGCAGCTACTCCATCCACAGTACAAAGTCGCTACCATCTTGGGATCATCCCGATTACGCAGCCATGAGAGTGGCGGTAGAAGTATTAGAAGGGATGGAGAGCTTCTTATGGGTATGTTCACATCTGTATGTCGGATGGTCATGCTGAAAGAGACTGCCCCACAGAGATATATTCGTGGGGCTGGGTTGGCATATGGTGTCAATATTCTTGTGGACGTAGAAGCTGGCCTTCTATCCTTCTCCCTCTATAGGGTTTGTCTCGATTATCTTATTCCTCTCGACAGCCAAATAATCCAATGTTCTAGGCACCTGATAGCTACAAGGGTTTCGTGGAAGCCGCCAAAGTGGTGAAGGAAGTTGCCGAGGAGAAGGTGCGAGAAGACTTCGTGGTCAGGAGGCATATCTGATATTCTCGTGTAGCTATTCATTGAAGACACCACGATGGATGCCGCGAAGAGCACTCTAGTGTATAATTTTGCGTCGCGGATGGGAACAGTTGGCAAAGCGGTTGGTGTTGCGTTCCCATTCAAGTCAGCCGTTTCTTACAGTTGTTCCAGGCTGTGTCTTCGTTCAGCAACCAAGTACTGCGTGGCGTCTCTGTGGATCATCATCATGAATTGCTGCAGAGATACAATGTCAGTGGAAAGAGTTTCTCGTACGACCTTCTGATTCACATTTTCGATAGGGTGTCACGAGGGAAGAGGTCCTTGCGGCTATTCGGAAGTATATCCTTCCGGTATTCGATCCTGCACACTCTGTTGCGGTGGTTGTTTCATCGCCAAACAAGGCGGAGGAGATTACGGCTGGCCTGAAGAGTGCTGGGTTTGATGTTGAGTCTCGCAAGCTCGATCTCGAACTATCCGATGGCGAGAGCGACTTTTCAGATAACTCAATGAGCGAGGACAGCCGGTAGATTATCCTTTGATACAGTAAATGCAAATGACATTGTCTCCCTTCCATTTCTCTAATTTGGTGGTCCTCACGCAGGTGACCATATTCTACTTTCCCTCAGCTCCGCTCTCGCCTTATTCTTCAGTAAGCAATAGTCTCCATAAGAGTTCAACGACGTCCATTCGGATAACGGAACAAACAACAGTTTTGTCAAATGGTTAGAGTTTGCTGCGTCCAGGAACTTGAAGCATGATACGCGTTCCCAGTGTTCGTCGACCGCATAGCGGGGTTCTAATAGCGCAGGTGGGGATGTTCGATTCGGGAAGTCGAGGTCAATCAAGTAATCGCATGTCCCAATATCGACCTGGGTCGATGAGTTCAGCATACAAACACGAAATGTAAGGGCTCACATAGTGGGTCGGTTCTTCCCTGTTGAGATGATTCAAATCCGACGGGACAAACCTCGTGCCCTCCCACTTCCAGAACGGGTCGCCCCCCTTGCTCTGTACAAAATGCCGTGGGAGCATGCCGTCAAACTCGCTCTTGACAAACTCGACGTCTATCCCGTCGGGCACGTGGAAGTGGCTCGGGAAGCGGTACCACTCCTTGCCTAAGCAGAGGGTGAGGCTGAACATAGATACTGGGGAGAGGTCTACAGGCTCGTCCGCGTCGTGCTTGGACGAGGCGGTGGACTTCTTGATCTGCTCTGTGAGGAGACCGTTAGTGTTGAGTAGTCGGGGAAGCTCGACGTATTCGAAGTGATTTAGCACGTCGAGGGGTGCGTGGTAGTACTGGTAGAGGGCGAGGATGCGGGAGATTCCAACGAGCGAGGAGAGGAAGATGACGGCGAATGTCACCCAGGGGAAGAGGGAGGCTTTTGATGCCTATGAACATGTGAGCTATCGTCCTCTCAGTAAAGGGTAGCTCTTACCCGATAAGGCGACTTGGTGATGTGTACATAGACCGTCTCCAGCAACCCACGGAAGAGATAGACAGTCGTCGCAGCGTTGAAGCACAATAGAGGGTAAGCAGGATACATGAACCTCTCCTCCTTATGCTTCTGGGCGGAGAGGATCATAAACCACAGGTAGAAGGGTACGACCCTGAGAGCCATAAGGGTGAACGGGCTGCTTTCGTTCGGCCCTGGTCTGCTCATGCCTAGCCTGCGCCGGTCGAATCGATAAGTTAGGGCCAGCATGGGAAGGGAAGCGAGTGCCAAAGGGAGGAGAACGTTGAAGTTGAGCACGAGGTTGAGGATGTAGAAGTACCAAGGCTCGGTACCGTATAGGTCTGGACCGCGTGAAGAGCCGGAGAAGATGTTGTAGCGAATTATATTCCAGGGTGTGATGGTGAGCGTGTCATATGCGAGGGAATCGACGCCGACAACGGGGATCTGTGGACGCATTGAGACGTATAGACTCGGGTAGAGGTGTACCTTACGAATATGGTTGCTGCTACCACCCCACATCCGACTAGCCTGGTCGCCCTGGACCAGAACCACTTGGTTAATTCTCCGGACTTGACTCTGCGACCTTCTTCCAGCAATTTATCGTGTCCCAATACTCCGAGCTCTTCCGCTACGAAAGGGAGTGCGATCGCGAGCGCAAATGGCCAGCCGACGATAGCGCCAAGCGCGAAGTACAGGGTAGTAGCGAGCGTACGGTAGGCGTCGGTATTGGAGGGCGGCTTGAACCAGTGGGAGCAAGCGAGCATCGTAGTGTACATCGCGAATGACGAAGGGAGGAAAGCTGAGCACCGCAAGAGCACAAAGGGTGGGGAAGTTAGAAGTGGGCTAAGAGGAACGAGGCCATGCTTACACACTGAAGCGTTCCACATGCCAGCGCTGAACAGGAGCATGAATAGCAGATATCTGCCAAGGCGATAGTTCATCTGTTCGACCACTGTCCTGTAGAACTTGGCTTCGCAGAAACTGCACGCAGTGGCCAGAGCAATCCGTACAGCGAAGAATGATGCACGCTTATTATTATGAGAATTTTCAGAACAGAGGGGTGCATGGGTAGACGCAGAGCTGACCTTCGACCCCGCGTTTATCAGCGGAGGGAGGTGCACGGCCGGGTAGTGCAGGAGGATGTATGCCCAGCTGCGGATCGCGTACTCTGGACTGAGTTCCCAGGTTTGGAAGGCATAACCCTTGGAGAGATAGTGTAGAGGCTCGAAGAAGTTGAACACTACTTCCCTGTGAGCACATTGTTATACCTCGCTCTCCCGTGTGTGATACAAGGACGAGCGCCCACTGCGGTATGCGAAGGGGGGAAGAGAAGGCGGGGAAAGGAACGTACCTTCATCACAATCGCTCACACCAGCATACATCGCCGCTCCTACCCTGACAAGTATCAACATCCTAAACGCGACCGACAAGCTCGGTGTCCATGGCCCTCGCTGCGAGCGCCTGAGCTGGTCTTGTAGGAGCCCACTGTGCCTGTTTATGGATTTGGACGGGGTGGTCGCCTGGTGCTTGCGTAGTCGAAGGGTTTGGGTGCCTGGAAGTGCAGGCGCTGTTATTGGGGTAGCCATGGGTGGGAGGAGGGAGGAGAGGACGAGGAGAGAAGGACGGGATGAAGCAGATTTGGTTTTGGACCGTTGAAACAAGCGCCGACACTGCCACGATTTCACCAAAGAAGGAGAATGTAATAACAAAAGTTAACAATTGCACTTCATTTATCTTTCTACAAACACAGACTGAACCTATTTGAACCTGCCCATCAACCATGATATTCCAAGTTTCCCTTCAACCCCAAGTCGTGCACATTCCAAACCACCACAATGGCCTACTCCATCCTCTTGTCCATCTCCCTTCCCTCCTCCCACAAGTCCCTTCCCGAACAACTACACACAGTCTTCGCATTCCCCCACACACCCGCACTGCGCGCCACCACACCTGCCCACATCCCCTTGCCCCCTTTCTCACCAAAGACCATCGCCCTGCCAATCAGATCCCAGATGCTCAGTCCCTCCTTCTCGACGAACAGGTCTCCGTAGCCCTTGTCGTCTACGCGTACTTCCCCCAGGTGGTGCAGCACGCCCCCCGCCCCGTCCGGGCCTTTAGATAAGTCCCCAGTGCGCGCAACGTACGCCTCGTACACCTTCTCCGGCTTCAAAAGTGTCGACCGCACCGTAAGGTCCAGCAGCGTCTGGGTCGGCGTAAGCTGGACAAGTCTCCCAATCCCGTGCACCTTCTGCGTATGCTCCTTACTATGCCAGTCCAGCACAGTAGATGAATACGGCTCTTCGAGTATCGCGACTGCGGCGCCTCCACGGCCCGTCGTACCGCGGATGATGACCTGCCTGCCTGTGTCGCGCAGTGCCTTGGCGAGGAGGGAAGGAGCGGTGCGCCCAGTAACAGTTACGGACTGCGATGGGAGGTCGATATCGTAGCGGTCCAGGTTGGGAAGCTTGGCGAGGGCGCTCTGGACGTCGGAGACACAGTGCTCGCACGTCATGTACACTGCGAACTCGGTCTGTAGGAAACGTTTAGCGAGTTGCAGGCATCGGTTGAGGTACCTACCTTGAAAGATGTTGAGCTCATGATTACCTTTGAAAGAGGTCCAGCCGGGATAGGTGGTGGTGGTACAAATGCAGGAGGAGAGGGAGTTAGACAGCACCAGCTGCACCCTCCAATTCGGTAGTGAGCGAGTCCAAGGCTCTTATTCATCATCAGACGAATCCCTGGTTACGTAAACATACCCTGTTGGAGCACAGCAGTTTCTTTTTCCCATTTGTTTGTTCTGAGTTATGTATTTACTTGGCTTTGCCTCATAGACCTGTCTGTTTCTGTGCACTCAAAGGAGAATGAAACAATGCAACCGGGAAATCATAATGTTCCCCCTCACCCAAGTGGTCCGTTCTATGTGGTCATGCGCTAGCGCGTTCAGCCCTCTAGGTAAATGCAATTTCCATTTCACTTTCTTTCCTTCCATGTTGTATCAAAATCCTCTACCCCGTGCAAATCTAATCACTGCAAGCTCCACCTGCGCATCATTCAGTGACACCTCCCAGTCATCGGAGCAAACGACATACGACTGTTCCCAGAATCCGACTTCCAACCTAGTCGCCTTTCTAAAGATGTTCACCATTTCCGCCAGCTGGGCAGGCGAGAGCGGATTCGCCTTGACACTCTCCTCGAGCAGGTCTCGTCCCTTCCTAACCGCTTTCTGGAAATCCTCCCCCGCGTATCCCTCAATCCATGGCCAGTAGGCGTTCCCCTCGCGCTTCGTTCCCGGGTCATCGTGCAGCCAGGTGCCGACGTCGCCGTACCCGAGCAAGCAAGGAGCCGTAGCGACGCGCAAAGCGAGAAGGGAGTTCGAGACACCTGTGTCGAGCACGTACCGCGTATACGCAACGGTGTGTCCCGACTCTGGGGTGGAATGGAATTCTTCCAAACTGATGCCCCAACTTTGACAGAAGGCGATGTGGTGCTTGCTCTCGCGTACAATGTGCTTCACGATGTCTGTCGCTGCGTCGATTTCCTCCATGCTGAAGCTCTTGTATGCAGCTAGGGCGTGGATCCTAATAGATAATGAGGATTTCACATGGGTATGAGAGGACAAGCGAACCGGGCGTAGTGTGTTAGGAAGATGTAGTCCTGCTTGAGAAAGTGGATGAAAGATTCTCGCGGTAGTGTCCCGTCTTTCAAACCCAAGATAAACGGGTGCTTCCGCGTGTACATGGTCCAATCCACGGCACATGAACGGATGAGGTATGAGGTGAATGGGTGAGGATCCAGGTCAGATGGTCTAACGTGGAGGTCAGTCGAATGGGGTGCGATGGAGGACAGATACGTACGCTGCAAGTGCTCGTGGGAGGATGGCCACGAGATGATTTAGCGGACCAGAGCCGTGGCCAATGTCAAACGACGCCAATAGTGCCGCCTGGACATAGTCCGTCGCGAGTTGGATGGCTTCGCGTACTAGACTGAAATTAGCTCACCCCCGCATACAACAGGGGAATTCAGGCTTGCAGGAGTTTCCCTTGGACAGGAAGGCAGCAATAGCGCTCGATTGGGTACATCCAGTTCCATGCGTATTCTTGGTGTGTATTCTCGGGTGTTCGAACACAGTATACTCCCCATTCGCCGTCTCATACAGAACGTCATACACCTGCCGCTCATCCAGATGTCCACCTTTCACGAGCACAGCATGACTTCCCAGCTCGGAGATCTTCTTGGCAGCAGCTTTCATATCCTCGACGCTGTCGATACGCTCAAGGGAGGAAAGTTTCTTCGCTTCGGCGATGTTGGGGGTAACGAGCGTGCAAAGCGGAAGGAGGTGTGTTTTCAGTGCAGGGAGAGACGAAGGATCGAGCAGGACATGCTCCGACGTGGATATCATGACCGGGTCTAGGACAATGGGTGGAAGCTTGGATGATCCAGCAGGAGGAAATAGGGCGGTGAGCGTCTCCGCAACTGCCTCGATAATATGGTGGTTGTGCAGCATGCCTAGTAAACCAAGTCAACATCTGAAGGAAAGAGCTATCGTGTGACGCACCAATCTTGATAGTGTCCACACCAATGTCGTCGATCACTGCTCTCAATTGCTTAGATACGAATGGTGGATTGACTGCGACAACTCCATCGACGCCAAGGGTGTTCTGGCTGGTGAGTGCCGCTATGAAGCAGTCAGCACCCAAAATATCCCCCACAATGCAGTCGTACTGATCACCGACAATCCATAGGTTCCCAGAGCAGTGAATGTCTTCAAATCTACCGTGATTTATCAGTATTGTTGTTCAGACCGTATTGATGTCATATGTGCGCACCAGCCTGGATTCCCGCGCCGCCTCCGGAGTCCGAGCCGGCAATAGTCAACGTCTTAGGTGGCGGCGGAGATGCCATTTTATATACAGCAGTAGAAATTGTCGAAAGGGGTGAATAGCAGGGTATGCGATCTTATATACTTGCCATCATACTAACAATAGAAGCGAAGTCACGGTGAATGTGGACTCGGCTTGTCCGGCTTTTTTCCGCTTTTGGATGCAAAGAAGCCGAATTATCGGCCGTGGACGTCGCCTCCTTTGTTCCTTTACCTTTTTGAAGCCGTAGCTTCCCGACTTAGCTGCGGACTTCGGCTCCGATTTCTCCAGGCTGGGACCTCAAAATGAGCTGGCCTCACTATGTACATCCTTCTGCCTTTGCTTTGCTATCATCTATCTCAGGGCAGTACTGCTACGAGTCCGGCTCACGCGGAACTCAGGCTGCAAGTTTTACTCAGATCGTTTGCCATATCTGCAACGCGTTAGACACCTCCGTGGCCACCACGGAACAAGCCATATGCGGCTCCTCGAAGCATCTCCAAGGAGCGAAATAGTGCGCTACACGCCTGCGATAGGACGGCTCCCAACCGAGCTCTTGCAAGAGATCTTCCTCTTCGCAGTGGACGATGACGATAAACACAAGCATACAAAGTGGGTCGTCTCGCATGTTTGCCGACACTGGAGACACGTCGCCACGCACTACCCGAGGCTATGGTCACGCATGAGATTCGATCCCACCACGAGGCTTGGTTCTAGGCGCCTTCTCCAAGCGGCTTCACAGATGGCCCAGGCTGTCGATCTAGATATCTGTATGACGTGGAGTGCCACCTCGAGCAATTGGGCAGGAAGACGGGAGAAAGCGAATTTCATAGCGCTCGCATTGTCACGACGATCTCAATGGAAATCGCTGGTCATAACCGACAACGAGTTCGGGGTTGAATCCAACCTTGCCGTGTTGGCCGAAGGTGTACGCCATGCCGCTCTCCCGAGGTTAAAGTCCGTACAGTATCACACCACTCGAAACGGCGGAGAAGGTCATCGTGTGTTTGAATTGGTCACTTCTGCCTCGAACCTAGAAGTCCTCAATTTGCGCAACGTCGACTTCATGGGTCGAAGAGTGCCGGAAAGGCTCCGCATTCTCCGGCTCGACAACTGCAACCTTCGAACGATCGATGCCCTGTACGAGATGCTTGCCCTCGTCCCGAACCTCAAGGTCTTGCACATATCGATACCTTGCCCTACTCCCGCATACACGAGTACGACGACTCACAACCTATTCCCCTGCTACAGCTTCGCATGCTCTCCTTGGGATTACGGGCATATTCACACGACGCCTGGTTTGTGCGGCAGCTGGTTGCTCCGAACTTGGGCACCCTCCATCTATGGACCGCTCGAAACCCTTGTCCTCACTGCGTGCCCCTCAACGCAGCTCAAAGGCGAACAGAAACTGGCTACCAGGAGGTTTTTGAAGCGATTGCAGCCGGGGGCTGGCAAATTCAGACGATCGATGTTTCTGAACTGTCTTGCCCTTCACTACCTCTCCTGCGGTCTCTGCAATCCCTGTTAAGACTTGCTGTTGCAAGAACATCCGATTTGCGGCAGATAGTGAACGCCCCAAACATACCTGAAGTCACACCCTCCAAACACGCCCCGATGTTTCAACTCCAGGAACTCGCCATACATGACCTGGACGAACCTTCCTTCCTCCTTTCCGCTCTAGAAGCCAGTGCTCTTACACCATTTTCATCACTTTCTACAATCTTCGCACCTCGAGCTGTGGCGCTTCCATGGAACTTATCGGTGATTAGCCCGAATGTTGGAGTCCTCCGGGAATCCCAGGCTCATGAGCGACTACATTGCGAGTATCTTGTGACAGAGACCTGGCCTGAGTGGGCCGCACCGTTGTTCAGTGAAGGCGGCCCTGCGAGACGAAGTCGATAGAGCATCAGGCAGAGATCGTTTCGTCCCTTTCTCGTGGTAGACAGTAGAGCAGTATTACATATTGTTGTGAAGATAGTGTACATTACAGCACCCACATGTGGCGATTCGTCTACTGATATACTGATGAAGTCCACGAACAGAGCAGCCAAATCGAACTGCTCAACCAAAAGTCTGACTAGACCTCGCATTCCTCTTGACGGTAGATATCCTCCACTCATCCTTCTGTTCATACTTATTGAACAACGGTTCAATTTTCTCCTGCTTCTTCCGTTTTGAAATTTTGTTCGCATCGGCAACTCTGAAAAATTGAGGAGCCACTTCAATTAACCACTTCGGTTCGATGGAAGTCACTGTATGGCAATATTCTCGTGTCGTGAGGATCAGCTCGTTATACACGAGCCACTCGGGATTACGGTTGAAGAGCGCTGATGAAGGATGAACATAAACTGGAGTGCCTTCAACTAGCGTTTTGTACCCCTCCTGGGGATCCTTCTTCGCCGCGTTCCGGAAGAAGCCGGAACAGATGGCTCGTCGTACTCGGTTGTAGTCTCGGCCTGCGGAAACAACATCGTGCTTGTAGCGATCCATAATGCCGAGAACCTGCTTGCGAACATCCTGTGCACGGCGCATGCTACGCGCTTGGATGAAATTTTCGTAACACCAGGCATTAGCATAGTTGTTGGCTTTCCAGGCATTGTAAACAGTCAACAACGTCAAGTGATCGCCTTCTGGTTGATGGAACTTGGCTTTCTTCGAGTCCGCCTGAGCCTGTTTCTCCTTTGGTCGGTAGAACACATTCTGAACGGACAGCATTGCAACAATACTGAGGATCTCTTCTGAGCATCCAAGGTCGACGGAGGCGATAAGCATCTTGGCATTCTGAGGATCCATTGGCATGTCGGCCATTTTTCTTCCAAGCCTAGTGAGTAAGCCTTCGTTGTCCAGAGCGGACAGCGCATATAACTGCTCTAAAGCAGTTATCATCGTCTGCGCAGGCGGCGGATCCATGAAATCGAAATTCAGCAGGTCGTTGATGCCCATTGCCTTCAACATCAGAATAGTGTAAGCCAAGTTCTGGCGTTGAATATCGGGGATAGGATTTGGTAACATCTCGTTCCTGAAAGCCGCTTCCGTATATAGACGGTAGCATTTTCCGGGGCCAGTTCGACCGGCACGACCAGCACGCTGCTTTGCTTGCGCTTGAGAAATCGGCTACGGTCACGTCAGGGGAAGGATTTACAATCGGAAGGAAACGTGGACATACTGTGACAACCAAAGAATCCATACCCAGCCGGGGGTCATATGCGTTCTGCTTGACGAAGCCAGGGTCAACCACATAATAAATTCCGTCGATGGTGATACTTGTCTCTGCAATGTTTGTGGCAATCACAACTTTGCGAGCACCGGGCGGGGCAGGTTCAAAGATCTTCGACTGCATTTCAGATGGCAGCGCAGAGTATACGGGTAAAATGAGAAGCTCTGGTACTTGTGGTCCTAGTGCTTTCATTCGCTCGTACAAAATCTCAGACGCGGTGTCGATCTCCTCTTGTCCAGTCAAGAACAACAGAACGTCGCCTGGTGGTTCTGATAAATGGATCTGCATGACAGTAATCAGTGATGCATCGAGGTAGTCCGATTCAGGTTCTTTCGTGTAAAGGACTTCAACTGGGTACGTTCGACCGGGGATGGACAAGATGGGGCACCGGTAGAAGTATGTTGAGAACTTCTCCGCATTCAAAGTCGCCGAAGTGACAATAAGCTTGAGGTTTGGTCGTCGTTTGAGCGCCTCTGCAGAATTGTTAGTTTTCTCTCTTCGTCAGTTAAACGAGATGGCTTACTTTTCAGCAGACCGAAGAGAACATCGGTTGCAATTGTTCGCTCGTGGGCCTCATCCAAAATGATAACAGAGTATGCATGGACATCCGGATCCATAAGGCATTCTCTTTGCAGCATGCCATCCGTCATGTACTTGATCTTGGTCTCTGGGCTGGTGCAGTCCTCGAATCGGATTGTGTAACCGACTTCCTGACCCAGACGGCAGCCGACTTCCTCCGCTACGCGTTTGGCGACAGACATCGCGGCTACACGACGTGGTTGAGTACAGCCGATTCTGCCGCGATCAGCGAAGCCTTCTTCCGCCAAATATTGTGTCATTTGGGTGGTTTTCCCGGACCCTGTGTCACCAACGACGATGAGAACTTGATACTCCCGCACTGCCTGGATGAACTGCTCTCGGAGCTTGTAAATAGGCAGGCTCTTCCTTTGATCCTGTATACTGAGTGACGTGATCTTGCCGAAAGTCGTTGCCTTGTTAAGCGTCTCCTTTCTCCACTGAGGAACCTCCTGGGCTTTCTGACCCATCAGATTCCCTCGAGCGTCCTGGGCAAATACCTTATCCTGCGACATAGGATCCAGCCACGGAGTGCTGAAATCACGTGTCTCAGAATCGGCAACTTCATTCGCCTCTTGCTGTCGCATTTCTCGCCGCTCCTTTGCTAGCGATGCACCTGCCAGGGCTGCACGGTTCATAGAGCCGTCAGGTGCTTTGACGATCTTGACGGGAGAAAGCTCGAGGGTCTGCTTCGTCTGTCCAGCCAAGAACGCCGGCTCATCCTCACGGACCTCGACATCAAGTTCTTCTTCGACCTCTGCTTTCGCTGCAGGGTTGGTGAAGTCCTCGTCCAGATTAGGATATTCCGATGCGTCGATGACTCCGGATGCGATTAATTGTTTGATCTCCCATCGTTCTGGAGAGGTGAGGCGTCGGGCAGATCGTACGGGAGCGTCGCTCGGTGGAGGAGGGCCACCACCGAGTGGTACCGAGTTTGCTCCGGTCATACTACTCCGCGCTTTTCGGCTCTCTTCCTCGAGTAGCTCGGCTTCTGACTTGATTCGCAGGTGCGGTGTGAGATCCCGTCCGGTAGCTTGATCAACGTCCTTCATGGAAAGACTAATGCGACTACCGGCAACGCTCATGACTTTGACTTTAACGGGCTGACCACTGGAAAGCAGGTCGTTCGGCGAGTTAACACGACCACCTTGTTGGATAGCGGATACATGCACCAAACCTGAAGATATGTCAGTTATCCATGCTATACAAGGTGATTCGCATAAGCGCACCTTCAGCTCTGCCCTTAATGCCCTCCAAGGTGATAAATGCGCCGAACTCCTTGATGCCGGATACCCGGCCATCATACACCTTGTAAAGGATGGGTCGCTCGTCCAAAGGCCGCCCTCTCCCTCGTCCTCGGTCGTCCTCTCTGCGGCCCCCATACCGATCGTATGTATTCCTGCCCCTCTCCCGATCCTCATGTCCCATATCTCGTCTGGGACTGGTACTTCGTCTTCTTCCCCGATCGTCCTCCTCTCTCCGTCGACGTTTCGAAGCAGGCTCATCTTCGATCCAGTCTGCCGCACTGGGACGAGCTTTCTTCGCCATAACCTCCAATTGGCTCATCAGGCTGTCTACTTCCCAATCAGCAGCATCTTTCTTCGTTGCATTTGCGGCGGGCTGGTTCTCCTTGCCGCCCGCGAAGTCGTTCGAGGCCTTCCATTCGTCGTCGGCGATGGCCAAACCAGGGAATACACGTGTCTGTTTGTCCTTCTCGTCTAGTGCTCCTTTCCCAGACTTTCCGTTCGCCTTCTTCTTCGCAGCCTTCTTCTTGTGTTTTGGATGTAAGGAAAGGATGAGGCGATCGAGGTTCTCGACGAATGAATCGGGAAAGTCTGCGCCAACCTCCTTCAGTTTTGACTTGAATTCAGCTTGAGTCTTGGACTGGTCGTGCAAGCTGATTACAAACTCCGCGAGTGTCTTGTCGCTGATCCCTGCAACAGTGTCAATACCAGCAACCAGATGCATTCGAACACAAGCACATACCAGTATGATTGACGATTTCTTGCGTAATCTTCGCCACCAGGGACAGGAATTCGAGGTTGTACAAGTCATCCATGCTGGTGATCTTGATGATCAATGCCTTCACGCCCCGTTTGCGTGCAGGGTCGAACTAAAGGAGGGTATAGAGTCGAGAATGAAGGAGCAGACGAGACGATGACTTCGCTGGACCAAAAAGGTACGGGAGCAATTTGCTGGCATCGCCACTGGAGGGGCTATGCGAGCGCCTGTCGTGTGGACACACCTTAACAGCTCCAGTGGTCATGGCAGATTGTGTTTGTCCAGACATTCTTGAAGTATTGTTGAAATCAGTCTTGTTATCAACCTGGGCTATGGGATTTCAAATACGTAATCTCTACCGGTCACGTCTTGGTTCATGGTCCGCTGGATCACGAGCACATGTCCTCGGACTCTCCGTCCTGTTGGACGTTTCAGCAGCACACCCTGCGTTGATATGCTCACAGCCCCATTCCGTACGTTCGGTGCGACTCCCGGTGCTGGCAGACTGGGTCAACTTCTCTGACGTCTTATCTTGACTAATTAATCCCATCAGACAATGTGGACGCCAGCACAGCAGAGTACGTCAGTCATGATACTACGTATGGGCATCCTCTCCTTCTCTTGGAACTAGCTCCTTATGTCGCCTCGCCGAACCCTGCGTTGCTTTCCGCTCGTCCTCACTGAACCGTCTGTCCGACCACATTACGACCAAACGTCTCAGGGCCGCACTGTCTACTGGATGTAACATGCAGGAACGCGCTGTAGCAATGTGGTGTTATCGACGCGTCGGTCCATATCCGGTCAACTCTGGAATGAAATGAATAGCCGGAAGCAACGCATCAGGGAAATTTGCCAGAGGTGCATCAACACCCCGCGATTCTGTTGGGAAATAAATGCTGTGACACACGGGCTTTGTCTTGCACACCTCGTGAACTTTCCCGTATTATATCAGTGTGGCTGCCTGATGTCTTGGACACGGTTTCTATGCTTGTCTCTCCCATTTCACTGTTAAAGCTGGTGCCTCCGCGATGGGAACCCCCGACAACAACCGCAAATCGGCCCAAAAGAAGTGGAAGATGCCTTTCGCAGCTTTCACTGGCTCCAGCCAGTTGGAGGTACGCAGATCTAAACCAAGTTACCGTCCCTGTGCTGATTTCCCCAATAGGTCATCACGGTGATTGCGAATTGTGGCTCCCAGACTGAACTTGCCACAGCAGCGATCTTCAGGTGGATCCAATCAAAGCAAACAAAAGGACGCACCCAATTCGAAATCTTGGGGAAGCTCGAGCTCATGGAAAACAAGGTGAGCACTTTGGGTACCCCAATGAAAAGCAGGCTCATCGCCATGCAGTTCCGGCCATTCATCTCACTGCACGACTCCTTCCACACTGCGCGTCGGGCAAGTGGTCTTCCTCCTTCCCGAGTCCTATCTGCAGGAGTCTGGGAAATCAGTCAGACATCGTTGAACACATTACCTGAGAAATTCACTTCTGCAACTCAAATGACTCCAATGCGGGCCGAGAGTTCAGCAGGAACGGCTAGTCCGATGAACGATCCCCAACCATCTGCAAGTCTGGAGCCGGAGCCAGCATATGACAGTCGTGTACCAACCGGTGTGGAGTCGTTCAATACAGAAGTGCTGGACTTCGAGACCAAGCGGCCTCCTCCACTTCGACTTCGGACTTTGCTGGATGCGCGGCTAGCAAAGATGGCTCGTCGGCACTCTATCTCTGTTACTGGACCCCCCGTGTCCCCGGACGAGGACCAAGCCATTACTCCAACACCTACGCGCAAGAACCCTCTAGGAATCAGTCATTTGCGCAGGAGATCGAGCATCGCAACATATTCCTCTCTCAATCAAATACCCACGAGCCCGTTTCAATCTGCATGGACGGCACCTGCTGTGGCATTCGACCCTCCTGCCCCTCCCCCGCTTTCATATGCCGACTCATCAGCAGGCTCCTCACCAGATTTCGCTGAATCGGGCGATGACCCGTCCGGTCGACCTTCGACGAGTTCTGATTCCTACTACACGAGCCATTCTCGTACCCCCTCGGTGACCTCGTTCCAGATTATGGACAGCGTACGCCGGAGCGTTCAGGCGAAGTTCGACCCCGAAATGGCTGAAACACTGGTCTATGGCGCCACTGCGCAACACTTTCTTCGTATATTCCGTGCATAGTGACACAAGCTCTTGTGATTGTATTCAGCCTCTGACTGATGTATATCTACAAATGATGAATTACGACTCTGACAATGGGACACGCATTGCCTTCTCCACGAGGGTCACCCTTCGTGAAGCCTTCATAGCCGACTTTCGGGATATACTCAACCCAGAGTCCCCGCCATGATCTCAGAAGGTGCTACCTTCTACAACTGAAGCAGTTTTCTTCTGTTGAGCCGATGCTGAATACTAGTACTGCATTGGTGAAGTGCCAGCTGTAATTTCTGCCGTTTGTGGTGTCTTAGTAAAAGGCATTACGTCACTGCCTTACCCAAGCGAGGAAAGCCTCCTAGGGTTCCGGCGCTCACTTGACAGCGATCTTGACTCTCGAGTGGCGCGTGCCCCGACTCATACCTTTACCATCATGATTGTTCCTGTGCCGATGAATCCACCTCCTGAGGAGGTCCCAGATGCGGAAGAGGAAGACGACGAAGAGGAAGACGGTGTAGTTCACCAGGCTGACGGCGCGACTGGTGAGTATCATATCCTTGAATCGTTGAGCATCGTCTGACATACTTGTGCTGACTCTGTTTCAGGCGAGGCAAAGAAAAAGAAGAAGAAGAAGTCCAAGAAGAAGAAGAAGGGAGGTGCTGGTGCGCCCGTGAAGCAGAGTGAGCCGCCTAGAGTAGGTGTGTCGCTCCTCTTCCCGAACGGAGTGTACCCGGAGGGCGAGCTCCAGGAATACAAGGACGAGTACACCCATCATTAAGCAGACTGCGGACTCGGACTGATTGTGAATAGCAACCATTATCGAACAACATCTGAAGAGATGCGAGCACGCGATCGGATGATGAATGAAGATCCCGAAACGACGTATACGGCGATCCGCCGGGCAGCCGAGGTGCACCGAGAAGTGCGTGCGTACGCACGGAAGGTGATTCAGCCTGGGATGAGCATGACCGAGATAGCAAACACGATTGAGGATGCTTCTCGTGCGCTGGTGGAGGAGAAGGGCTTGGAGAGTGGGATCGGCTTCCCTACCGGCCTGAGCTTAAACCACTGCGCCGCACATTACACGCCCAATGCAGGGGATACCATCGGTGAGCGAGGCTTGGCAAGCTTTTCCCCGGAGGGCTGCGCTGACTGTGCATCAACGATAGTGCTCAAACATGGGGATATTATGAAGGTCGACTTCGGCGTGCACGTGGGCGGTCGTATTGTTGACTCGGCTTTTACAATGTCATGGGCTGACCCGGCATACGACGAGCTGCTTAAGGCCGCCAAGGACGCTACAAATACGGGTGTTAGGGTGTGTATCTCTAAGTCCGCAGTAAACGGATGACGTGGCTGACATCGGGCGCAGGAGGCAGGAATTGACGCGCGCTTAGGCGAGATCGGTGCTGCTATCCAGGAGGCGATGGAGAGCTATGAGGTAACGATAGGCACGGACACGAAGCCAGGTTAGAACTTTCCCCATGGAGGTAGAAGTGCAAAGTCTGATCGGTGTCACAGTCAAATGTATCGAGAATCTCAACGGGCACACCATCACCAAATACTCTATCCATGGTGGCTCGCGGGGCAAATCTGTGCCTATCGTCAAGACTGGTGACCAGGCGAAAATGGAAGAAGGCGAGTACTTTGCAATCGAGACGTTTGGTTCGACTGGGCGAGGACGCGTCATTGAGGAAGGGGAAGTATCGCACTACGCAAAGATGTACGACCCCGTGCAGCCACTCCGGCTCACGAGTGCGAAAGCCCTGCTCAAGTCCATCAATCACAACTTCGGCACACTGCCTTGGTGCAGGCGGTACCTTGATCGGGTGGGGGAAACGAAGTACCTTCTCGCCCTCAACCACCTCGTCAATGCCGGCATCGTGCAGGCTTATCCACCTTTATGCGATAGAAAGGGGTCGATGACGGCGCAGTTTGTGAGTGTCTGACGTTGTCATCCTTGGCGTTGAGGTTCGGGCTAACTGAGCGCTTGACAGGAACACACGATTTTGCTACGCCCGAATGTGAAAGAGGTTGTCTCTCGAGGTGATGACTACTGATCTCGGAGTTAAGTGCTTTCTCATCTATTCACTCGTTTTTGTATGATTATGAAAGCATGAGAATGACTGCATTGCATTGACCCTTACGTGGCTACAAGAATGTATGGTTCCAGTGTATGCTCACCCCCGGTAACTGACAAAGAAGGTCGTCCCAGATATGTATCCTGGCTGTCCTCTGCCAGAAGTCGAAACACCGAGATTCGCTTGGCGGTTTCGTCGGCCAGGGAGTTGGTATGTATATACTTAGGTGATAACACCGAGTCCGGACACCCCTATGCCACTTTTAAACATTCCATTCCTGGAAGATACAGTTTGCGGCATTGTCACACGCCCACCGGGTCTTCTCCCACAATGGAATCGGCTGCGGCGCGGTGTGTGTCTGACGATTTTCCGGTGCAGAGAACGGAAAAAGCAGGACAGACAAGTCCCTAGCACGGCAAATCTCTGGATCCGCCTCCAGCGCACCCGTTCGCATCGTCCCTGCACTACCGGAGTTCGTCGAACCGAAAAGGTTAGAGATTTTACGGAGTTTTTGAAATAGTGGGCAGTTGATGCGGGGTGGGCATGTGAACAATCTTTCTTGCATTATCACCGATGATTTGTGATGGTGACAGGTTGTACATTTTATGGGCGCTTGACATGACCGCGTGGGGGTTGTGGAAGGTTAAACTTTGTGTGAGGGTGGTCGGGTCAAGATGTAGTCATCTGATGAGCGCTGTGTAAGAGGGCCGGTGACAAAGACCCCTTCAATCACCTGTGGTCTGAGGCTAGAGGAAGAAGAGGGAGCGGAGTCGGAAGGTTACGCTGGAGGGACGTAAACCGGGTGGCGTAAGCGGAGAAAGAATCGGAGTCTGATGGAGGCAGAAGAGGGGTGAGGAAGAGAAGCAGCGATCTGATTGGCTGATAGAAAGGAGCGCTATTTTTGGTGGGGCGCAGACCACACGCGGAAGCTATACTTGTACTCCTCGGGTCCCGTTCGCTGCCTCGCCCTTGCACCCCTCACACTCCTCCCTCCTCCTCGACCTACACAGCACACAGCACACGCACACACTGCACTGGTCGTCTCCCCCGCCCTTCCTCCCCCTCCTCCCCCGTCCCATGCGACAACCAGTCCTACCAACTAGATTCATATCAGACGCGTCCGGTTCCTGGATAGTTGCTGATGGCTGGGTTCTCCACGGGAAGAGCTTCAACCAGCGTGATGGCACCCAGGCATACGACCCGGACTCCAATCCTTCTGTCATTGGCGACTCAAACTCGGACGTTGAGGACGGCAGCCTCACGCCTGGAGAGAGCATCACTGATAGCGCTGCGGGTGGAAGTGCCAGCGCTAGCGGCTCAGACAACGCAGGCGTGATAGGAAGCGCCGTGGCGACCGTGGCAGCCAGCGCGACCGCAACACAATCCTCCACTATGACATCAATCGCTACCGCCACTGGAACAGCGGTGGTAGCCGGTCACAATGTGGGCACCTCAACAAGCACATCTTCCTCGCCCTCGTACTCCCCGACCGACCTTCCGAATGGTTGGGAACCGGGTCCCGTTAGAACGGCCTACTATACCGTTCCCCTTATCATCGCTCTCACCATTCTTCTCAGTATCTTCATCGTGGGCACCATTGCGGTATGTGTATGGCGCAATCAACGAAAGAAGCAGCGGTTAGCGCACGTGCAAGCTACGAAGACGGGAGACGGTGGAGGAGATATGGATGGGGAGATGTGGTTGGATATCGAGCGATTAAGGAAAGGAGTCGAAAAGGAGATGGAGAAGAGACGAAAGAAGGACGAGAAAGAAGCGAGGAAGGATGTGCGGACGTGGTTGGGAGCAGAGAGCAAGTGGAGGGCGAGGCTGATGCTACGGAAGCGAGGTGGAAAACGACGAAAAGGCACCGCAGCAACGACCGAGGTGCCCGAGGGTGATATCGCTGAGGGTGTATCGTCGAGTGTGGATGGATCACGATCATCAAGCGACTTTGTCCGCTCCAACGCTCCAAGTCCGAGTTCACCTTCAGATGAAAATGTTCCCCAACACGCTCGGCCCTCCAGCAGCCCTACCTCCCCATCCGCTCACGCCAACCCTCCCCCATTCCCTCCATCCACCTCTTCATCACGTCCACCGTCTCCATCACCCTCCATAACCGCCATCCGCCCACCCGCATACCCTGCCTCTCCCGCATATCCAAGCTCTTTCGATTCCCATGTCCCTCAAGCTTCCACCAGCGGAGCACCCCCACGACAGACGGGGATGTATCCCGACCTTCCTCCTTCTCCGCCCACACCCCCACCAGGGCTGCGCACTCTTATCGTACCCTCCCGCGCGCATATAGCAACAGACGACAAGCGCGTACTCGCACGTATGGGTCGTGCGACATTCCCGCGATCATCGATAGATGACCCGATACTTGCCCCCGATGTCCCACAATGGACAGATGAAGAAGCTCCCCTTCCTAACGCACCACCACGACATCCTTTTGACGAAAATGTCAGCATGGTAGAAGAAGATTACACCCCATTGCCTCCTCGTCCAAGAAGCATAGCACCGGAAGACGAGCTGTTCTCATTCTCTGGCTCCAACTTGCCACCACCGCCGCCCGCGTTCCAACACGCGGTAGAGCTGGATCCAGCGGTACCTTTCGACCCTGGACTGGGTTATACAACGCAGCCTATCTCTGAGGTGGCAAGTGCACCATTTGCGGACTGGGACGAGTATGGTGAGGCCAGTGCGCCGCCGCTGGAGGAGAGCGACGACGAACTGGATGCATCCGAGTCATCCGCATCTGTTCCACCACCACCACCAGAGGAAACCGAACGACGGCAGCAGTAGATGGTGAAGCAGTGGATCACCCGTTCAGTGTACGATTTATTTTGCGCCGCCCGGACGGCACGACCTCTGGTCTCGTTGGGGTTATCACCATCCCCCTCCTTTGTGCTTGTATGGTTCTTTGCAATTTGCTACCTCTCTGTGCCTCTGATTTATAGTCTCTTACTGCTCCTTTCCCTTATTTTGGGGGGATGTGGGTCTACGTGATGTACAGGAGAGTTTCCTTCTGGGATTCATGGGGTATTTTGAAGCAGAGAATGAAACTGTACTGAATAAAGTATTGTTTGCGATGTGAGATCCACTAGAACCTGTGTTGCAGCGAATTGACGGCGTCCAGTAACAATTAATGACGATGTGTGCTTGGCGGGAGGCGTCACGCACGGATTGAACAGGGCGAGGGCCCTTGTAAGGGATACGTATAAGATATCCCCATACTTACCATATACGGTAACACTGCCTCTAGGGTGATCAGATCATCCGATGGACTTACACATAGCAGGTGGCTGTAGGCCACCCTTTTCTCTCATCTCTCTTAGTACACTCACATTGTATTACTACTAGCTAGTAATACATTGATCTAGTGTATCTATTGGGAGCAAAAGGGCATCATAAGCCCTTTCACTTTTTTACACTACTCCTACAATCAGAGTATATTAGAGACTAGAGCAAAAAACTGCTCCATGTTAGATTTTGGTCTCCATATAACAGAGACCAATGAAAAAATGGCAGAACAGGAACATCCCCAGAAGACTGAGGTTGGTCCTAAAGCCTCAGGACCTGGGATTGTAGATACACCCACAACTGTGCAAGGCTCTTTGAGCTTTTCTGAGCCTGGGCAAAACTCAGATTGGAGTCCCCTTCAACCAGACCCAGCATACAGAGATCAGGCTGCTGGTCCCAGCACTCCTAGGGAGTGAATGGAAACAGAGGATTCCAATATGCAATTGGACAAGGATAACTCAACCAACAACACTTCCAATAGAAGTGTAGGAAAGTTTGTGGGACAGCCGATCCCAAGTAGACCAAGTGGGTCTAATGTAGATCCCCATGATGCAGGAATGGATTTGTCTGGTAACAGATGAAATGATCTTAATAACCATTTGTTAGAATCCAGAGAAGAGGCAGATCCCTTCTCCAAGTTGAGCCAAATGCTCGAAATCACTGACATTTCTCAGCACTTGATTATGCAATATCATCTGCTTGCAAACCACAATCCGGTTAATGCTCATATGTACAATGAGATGGGCAACCAATTGCTTTCTGTCCAATTGAACAGAATGGCTCCTATAATCGAGCCAAGAGAAAGTTTGCCCACTGGATTGGGAATACAAACATGGCCCAGCTTGCCATGTTCATGACTCCCATCAAGGGAAGAGGGCAATTTGTTGCATTTGCAACTCCCATCAAGGGAAGAGGGCAATTTGTTGCATTTGCAACTCCCATCAAGGGAAGAGGGCAATTTGCCATGTTTGCAACTCCTGTTGAGGGAAGATGAACCTAGAGTGGGTTCAGAAAGAGCATCTGTAAGGGATGATGCAGTTACTGAGGAGGTTCATTTGAGAAGTCCTCCATGTATGGAAATGAGGAAAGAGTCCTTGTCATAGATGGACCAAACTGGTCCATTCATACCAAAATTTCCATTTGGAAATTCCACTAGTGGTTCTTATCAACAGAACCAAAAGTCTGCATTGCCCAAATCTGTGCCATCCTCTACATTGAGGAGTAAGACCAATCTTCTCACAGGATCAATCATCCCAAAGACTCCTATGTGGAGGATAGAGAAGTGGTTACATGCAGTAACTGTGCCAGTAACTAATCATCCTTCCCCATTGAAGACTGGGTTCAAGCCTAAGGCTTTGGACACCTCTTATAGAGGTGAATCTGATATAGAGAAATTCATAGAATTTCTCACAACATTAGTTCATGCGTTTCATGCAGCTGGGGCAACTGGCCCAACTTGCAGTGATTGGCAAATCACTTATACCAGTCAATATGTGACTGGTGAAGCTCACCGTTGGGTCAAGCAAAATATAGATTTAGGCCACCAGCCTAGAGAAGAATGGACATTCTCCCAAATGATGTGGGGAATGTATGGAAGATTCTTCTCTTTGAAAGAGCATACTCTGCTTTCGATTCCTTGGTACAAGGAAAAGACACTGTAGAAGTGTACAAAGGAAAGTTATTTTCCACTATGGGTAGGATGCACAAGCATCCTAATGACTTCCAAGTAAAGAGGAGGTTCCTCTTTGGTTTGGCCAAGGATATTAGCATGAAAGTGCTAGAGTCAGGATATGACATTGATACAAGCACTTTTGATGCTTTATGCTCACAAGCAATAGAGTTGGACAGAGGACTCGATCTGTCACAGGGACTACAGGCTTATAAGAATATGTGCTGGAGTACATTCCCCAATCTGGGATTGTATGGCAATTCTTTGCCTATGAGGAGAGCAACTCCTCAGACCAAGTAATACTTGGTATGCCCTTTGGTAAGAAGTTTGAGATCATGCTAGATCTCAGAGGTAAAGGTCTCCAAATTGGGGGACCTCAAGGTAGATGGGTTGCCTCAGGAGAGGCATTGTCCCATGGGATACAGAATAGTATCCCTAACAAGGACTCATCCCCTCTTTAAGAGGCAAAATGTTCCAGCAATGCTGGTGTGAAACAAGTGCTTGCAGTGTGAACACCTGGGACAAAAAACCCAGCAGTTGCTGGGGAAAGTCTGCATTCTTATTCTGAGGAAATGCTTGCCAGCATAAGGGAAGGCCTTATGTCTGAAATAGAGGATCTCACAGGTGAGATCCCACAAAAGCTCCCCCCTCTACAGAGGGTAAATCATCATATCAACTTGATTCATGATAAGGCTGTTTATAGGACTAGATGTCCTGCTTGCCCTGAAGTGCACAGGGATGAGCTTCACGAGAAGACTCAGTGGTACAACACAGCTCAGTGGTGGGTACCAGCACAGATGCAACAGGCATTGCCCATGTTGTGCCTGTCAAAGCATAACAGTCGCTTGTGAATGACTGTGGACTGTCAAGAGAGAAACTCAAATATGGTGAAGGATATTACACTGATGCCAGATCAGGACAAGATCTGTAGATGGGTTGCAAAACACCCATTTCAATCCAAGTTGGATCTTCAAAACACATTCAAAAATGCTTGGAGTGCATCCAGATGACATCTGGAAGACTGCATTCCAGAACCTGTTTGGAACATTCCTGAGCCAAGTGGGCCAACAGGGAGATTGTAATCTCCCAGCATCATTCCAACAAATGATGATGGACATCCTACAGGAACATTGGATGTGTAAGGTAGTATGCTACCTTGACAACATTTCTGTTGTGGGCTCTACACTGTATGAGGCCCTTGCCAATTTAAGGATTGTGTTCGCAATCCTTAGAGAGCAGAAGCTCTACTTATCTCCAGATAAGGTTAATTTGCTGTCAATCAGCATAGAGTGTCTAGGACACAAGATCACCAATGACAGTGTGTATGCAGATGATGATAAGATGTCCATGATTAGGAATGCTAAGTTTCCTATGGATGTCAAAGGAATGCAATGCTTCCTTGGCATAATAACATATCTGGCACCTTACTTGCCAGATGTAGCCAGATACACTGGCCCATTGTCAGCATTGACACACTCTAATAGGAGCTACAATGTAATTCCTATGCACAAGAAGTGCTTCAAGAGCATAAATTGCTCTGGCAATGGACTCCCCAGTCCTGAAGCCCATTGTTCCCAAGAATGGGATTCCAGTCTTCATCATATGTGACACATCTACCAGTGGGGTAGGTTGTTACTATGGCCAAGGGCCATTGTGGGACAAGGTCCACCCAGCTGGATTTCATTCCAGGCAATTTACGGATGCCCAGATGTTGTACTTGACATATGAGCATGAGCTTCTGGCTGTGGTGGAGGCTCTCACCAAGTGGGAGAGCCAATTGATAGGTATCCCTATCACAATATGCATGGATCATGCACCATTGCAATACCTTCAGTCAAAGGCAACTCTGGCTGGGGACAGAGTAATTTGCCAGCAGGAATACTTGCAGTGATTCAATATCATAAAGATATTGTATGTTCCTGGAGAGAGGAACAAGATAGTGAACTGGATGTCATGCTCAGTGACCTTGTCTGAGCCGGTACTAGCTGATGTGCTAGTGGACAAAGAGTACAATACTCTTTCCAATGCTCAAGTCACCAAGTTGCAACCAGAAGTTGCTGTTTGTCAGATGACAACTTGGTTCAAAGGCACAAAAGTGCCCCCATGAGAACGGGTAGTACCCAATACTCCTTTGCCTGCTCACAAGGCAAAAGTTCCTCATCACTCTCATGGATGAGTCAAACAGCAAGTTGAGCAGAGTGCTGAACTCAACAGTGGTTATGCCAAACACACTGACATGGTAGTATCTGCTACTACTGCTATGGGAGCTGGCACAGAAATTACTCAGGTGGAGCCTGATTCTCTAGTGCTTGCCCCTACAGGGGAAGTAACAACACTACCCAGCATTGGGTCTTCCAAATGCAGTGATGAACCATTACAGTTCCAGCCATGTGGACACCTTGCTCTGTTACAAGCAATCAAACATGCTTATCAAGCAGATGCCTTCTACCAGAAGACATTGGCAACTTTGCCAGGTTCGAAAATGTGGTTCATTGAAAACAAACTTCTGTTCATTCGACACCCTCAGGGTGGTGTCGCTTTGTATGTGCCTACTGGGCAATACAAAGGGCAAGTGATACAGTTGCTCAATTTGGCTAACGCTCATGTTAGCATTGGCCATTATTGCAATAGGAAGACAGCTGCCTTCCTAAAACACCAATTCTGGTGGTATAGCATGGGTAAAGATGCAAAGCATCTTTGCAAATCATGTCTGCATTGCCAGATGGCAAAAGACAGCATGGAGAAGCCTAATGGACTTCTCCATTTGCTTGAAATCCCTGGAGCTCCTTGGAGTTCCATTGCCATGGACTTTATTGGTCCTCTCCCTCTGTCCAAGGGATATGATTACCTCTTGGTAATCATTTGTTGCCTTACGGCTATGGTACACTTAGTACCACTGCTTATGATGTCATCCTCTGCAGATGTTGCCCAGATATTTGTATGAGAGGTCATACATTTGCACAGCCTCCTGGCTAGCATAGTCTCAGACAGAGACTCGAAGTTTACTGCCACATTTTGGCAGGCACTGCATAAGCAGATGGGCATGACATTACTGATGTTGACTGCATTCCACCCACAAACGGATGGAATGACTGAGCATATGATATGCTCAGTGAGTCAAATGCCATGTATAACAGTAGCAGATGACCAGTCTGACTGGTTGTCAGGGCACCAGCTCATTGCTTGGTCAAGAGACATGACTAAGCCTTTATGACATGAAAATAGTGGGCATACCTTGGCATGTGCTGGAACCTGCTGGAAGGATTGGATGGTCAGGTGACCTGCTGTGCATGGCTGTGCATGACCTCATATGACCTCATCCTTGGTCATATGACCTGATCACCTGACTAGGCTGAGTAAGCAAGATGTTCTAGCAGGTTCCACCACAGAGGTATAAATATAAGGCCTACTCTGCCTGGGACTGTCTCTTCAGACTTGGTCTCTTAGGATCATCCACAGGTACCTATACTGTAGATAGGTCTTAGTCATCAGGTCTACTC